TATCATTCGTTTTTCGTCGTTCTTTTTTGTACATGCTTGTACCAACGCCCTTATTCTTTTATATTATTGGCGCACATCGCGAATGAGGGTGTATGAGGCGGTAGGATGTTTTTTCACATTTTTTCACACAAAAACACATGTACATTCGTATCTCTGTCAAATCTTGTTCGTTTTTCGTCAGGTTTTTTGCAATGAGCTCTTCCAAACAGCCTCTCTATACCGTATTATTAACCTTAGTCATCAAACAGCTTGTATGAGGCCGTGGACACTTTTCCCACACTCAAAACACGCGCTGGCATGGGCCACACCCCATATCTCTCTCAGTTTTCAACCGTTTTGCATGGGGTTTTTTGCGATGGGTTCATGCCAACGTCCTCTCCATTCGTTATTATTGCCTCACTACAGGTCATCCAATGCAATGGCAAGATGCCACCTTGAGGCCTTGAGCGCGGGAAAAGCTTATATAATTACTTGGAATCAATACATTCAACCTGACTTCATTGTAGACTAGAGACCTTTAACCCGTGGGGTGCTCGTTCCTCGCACACCCACGCGTTTAGCGGTCTCTAGCTCCTGCGGAGGGCATCGGGGCTGCGCCCCGAACCCCCCTGGGGCGTTGCCCCAGACCCCATTGGGGCTCCGCCCCATGCAACGACATCCTTGTTATTATTGTTCCCCATGTGCTAAAGAAATAATAAGATATATGGTGATTATTTATGCACCAAGGGGCCAGCCCCTTGAACCCCAGCTCCTGCGGAGAGCTATTGGGGCGTTGCCCCAAGCCCCACTCCTGCGGAGAGCCTGGGGCTGTGCCCCAAACCCCCCTGGATATATTCAATTATTTTTTACACCAAGGGCCAGCCCCTTGAACCCCTGCTCCTGTGGAGGGCCATCAGGGCCTTGCCCTGAACCCCACTCCTGCGGAGAGCCTTGGGGCTGCGCCCCAAACCCCACTCTATTAATCATGCACAGGAATGAGAAAAGCCTTTCCCCCCTCTTTGGCAATCCACTGGGAGTGAGGCCTTTTTATTTGTTGTTTTTCTTCATTTTCTGGCCATTTCTCCAAATCCACCACCCCAACCACCTCCCATCACATGGAATTCCTTTGTAAGTTGATAAAACAGTGTTCCCCATGTTGCCATGAATTTTTTTGATTTTATTTTATATAGCACACCTTCCTTTTATTTTTCTATCTTTTATTCTATGTTGTCCCATGTTGCCATGGATTTTCTGGATGTTTTTTTATATAAAATTTATTTTCCTTTGTTGTCCCACATTGCCGCAATTTTTTCAGATTTTATTTTATTCAGGACACCTTGGTTTTATTTTTTTTGGATGTTTCTGCTTCATGTTGTGCCATGTTGCCGTGAATTTTCTCAAATTTTTACCTTATATGGAACCCTTCATTTGATTCTGCTCCACATTTTAATTACTCAATTTTATTTACCTATTTATTTTACATGCTAATAGCGAAATACAAAGAAAAAGAGAGAGAATACAACAGTACCACCATTTATGGTAGATGCCAATTTCGAAAACATAACCAAACATGACTAATACAACACCACTATTACTATTATTACCTAATTATATTTGCTAATTAGCGAAAACAACCAAAAAAAAATAACTAACACAACAATACTATCATTACTTATTAATAACTAATTAGTGAAAACAACCAAAAAAAAAAATTTAATACAACAACTACTACTACTACTATTTTTTATTATTATTTATTACTATTTACGGTTATTATGACCTATTTATCTACTTTTATTTACCTATCTACCTATTTTATCTATTTATCTATCTATTTTACATGCCAAAGTCACATGGGAACAAAAAAGAGTTGCTCCCATGGGGGGGTTTGAACCGGTTTTGAGTGGGGGTATTAGTACTTTTTCGCATATGTCTGTGCGCAAACAAAGTTGTGGGAGGTTACGCTCAATTACTCACGTGAATTTCCTCAAACTGAACATATACACGTGATTTTCACATAAATCTATCATATCTCTCTCAGTTCTCATCCGTTTCTCATCGGGTTTTTTTCCATGGGTGCGTCTCAATGTCCTCTACATGCTGTATTATTAGTCCGACTCGTCGTTCGGCGATCCTGAGGAGATTATGGCGATTTATCGCATTCCCCATGCACAAACTGTATAGTAATCTATTATATCTTGCTTGATACTGAACCAAATGTTTTATAAATTTGCGTACTAATTCATATATTATTAACGCAAGTTTTTGATATTTTTTTATATTTTCTTTGACATGCCATGAGGCGCTGGAAGACGTTTCCCACGCACAGACCACGCGCGGAGCAGACACTACATTCGTATCTCTGTCAGTTCTTATTCGTTTCTCCTCGGGTTTTTTTTAACGGGCGCGTATTGAATTATCCTACAATGTGTATTATTACCCCAACCTGATACTCTGCGATCTTGAGGGTGCCAAGTGATATTTAATGGAATAATTTATCATATCTCGCTTGATATTGCACCAAATGTCCTGAAATTCTGCGAGCTATTTTATATAGTATTAGCGCAAGTACTTGGTATTTTTACATATTTTTAAAACATCTGTAAGGTGCTGTGGACCGTTTCCCACGCACAGTTCATGCGCGGAGCTGACACTGGATTTGTATCTCTGTCAGTTCTTATTCGTTTCTCTTCGGGTTTTTTTTAACGGGCGCGTGTCAATGCCCTATACAATGTGTATTATTACCTTAACCTGATATCCTGCGATCTTGAGGGTGCCGAGTGAAATTTAATGGAATAATTTATCATATCTCGCTTGATACTGCACCAACTGTTTTGAAAATTTGCATGCTACTTTAAATATTATTAACGCAAGTACTTAATATTTTTTTATATTTTTAAAACATCTGTAGGGTGCTGGGGATCGTTTCCCACGCCCAGATCAGCCGCGGAGCTGACACTGGATTGGTATCTCCCTCAGTTCTTGACCGTTTTCCGTCGGGTCTTTTTCAATGGGCCCGTACTACCTCCACTTCCATTTGTTATTGTTGGTAAAAGTCGTGAATCAGCGTGAATGAGGAGGGGGAACGTTTTTTCCACAAATAAAGCATGTACATTAGTTTCTCTGTCAATTCTCATTCGTTTTTCGTCGGGTTTCTTTTAATGGGCCCGTGCCAACCCCCTGGTTATCTTATATTATTGGTGCAAGGAGCGAGCAAGCGCTTATGAGGCAGTAGGACGTGTTTTTACATTTTTTTACACATAAAAGGCATGATCATGCGTATCTCTGTCAATTATCATTCGTTTTTGGTCGTTTCTTTTTGTACATGCTTGTATTAACGTCCTTACTATTTTATATTATTGTCGTACATCTCAAATGAGGCTCTATGAGGCGGTGGAACGTTTTTTCACATTTGTTCACACACAAAAGACATTTACATGCATATCTCTGTCAAATCCCATTCGTTTTTCGTCGGGTTTTTTTCAATGAGCTTCTATTAGCGTCCTCTGTATTCTGTATTATTGGTACATATCGTCAAACATTCTGTATGAGGCCGTGGAGACTGTTTCCCACGCACACACTTTGCGCTGGGATGGGCCACCACTCGTATCTCCCTCAGCTTTCAACCGTTTTTCATGGGGTCTTTTGCACTGGAATCGCTCAAACGTCCCCTCCATCTTTTATTATTACACCAAGATAGGTCATCTAGTACAATTGTTAACATTGAAACAGGTCCCACGGCTCAGAGAACTGCATTGCTTACGTTAATTAAACTGAATAGGACAATACAAAAACTGAATAACACCATACATTCAACCTGACTTTATTATATATGTGTACAAGAACCTACGTCAAGATTCATTTGCAAGAGTTTCAATCTCAACTCAAGTTTTGGTTATCGACTCCTCAGAGCTATGGTCTCGGACGAATCACTCCGGGCATATTCAGTGACTGGAGATCCAGTTGCAGTGGTCGTGGTCGTGGCTTGGCACAGCCAGGAAACGCCATTTGAACTTAGAACTTCGTTCTTCGGGGCAGTGTACGCCTTGAATACCTTCATTGTTCTCCCAAGCTGTTATCCACCAGGACTTTACAATTATTCCAACTGAAGGCACTGAAGATTGCAAACCGGCAGCAATGATACATTCACTAAATAGTTTCTGCGATGCATCATGACCATCATGACCTCCTGTCGCCTCCTATTGCCCTACAAACAGGGACGTGGCTCGTCTCACCGCTGCCATATCAGCTGCCATAATGTCGCCAGGTAGCCACTATAGATCTTTACCTGTCCTCCTGAGTTCTGGTATTTCACTTGTACAGGACTTGGTCAGTCTCGTTTACTGAAATGAATGATGAGCCTGGCTGTACCAGACCTGGTTCCCCCGTAAGCATCCGCCCCTCTCCGGCTGAGTGAAATATCTATGGTTCACTTGAACCACTCGTTCTGGCCAGCATGGGGGTAAGACGCACGATTTCGTGCTGCTGCGTATGCTGCCTGGTGATCTGCATCCTCGATGAGCACGCCGATCTGGCTTCTACGGGATAATTGGGTATCCTGAGGATCTGGATATAGAAGTTGGATTCGAACGGCTTCCTAGATCATACCTTTCAGGGGGATTTGATGGATAAAATTGATGCTTAACAATGTCCTGAAAGAGCAACTTCGAACGGAATTAGAATGGAGTGCTAGCAGCGACCGCTAGGCACAGATTCTGTAAGCAGGGGGTTAAAGTGCGGTGCGCCAAGGCAGTGCGCGGCTCAATTCCACGGTTAATTCGGCCAGCCTCATCGCCTTCGAATACACAGATACTTGTTTATGATAGTGCAATACTTCGGAACAAAGGCAATATTGAAAATGTAGAGCAGCAGCCCAACTGTAGGCCAGCAGAGGGGGTATGTGACAATGATATCTGCAGACCTTTACAAAAGTTCCTTGGATTTGTCGCCTGAATGTTTCTTTCTCCTCACGTTTTACAATGGAAATGATGTTCTAATGGGATTGTGTGCTTGGCGTATTCTCCGGCTGAGTTGTCGCGATGATGGGCGCTTGAGAATGTGTGTGTGATTGAATGTAAAAGTCGCGTGCTGTTGGTTGCACCCTTACCTTGCTTGTAACATCACTCTCCCCCATAACCGTCGACGACAATCTCTCCGAATCTGAATTGTCCCGAAGTTGTGCTGGACCTCTGAATAAGATTCCGGCGTTTTCTTCTGAGCATTTTGGCCTCGAAAGTTCGATGGAGAGACCCCTGGGTGCTCGTCCACCTCCACCTTCCAACGATCGAAATAGGGCCTTTGAATCTATCTTTGGCAGGCCCAGTGCCGTTCATCATCTAGCACCCCCTCAGCGCCACCAATATGCCCCTAGTTACTCTGTTCCGGTCCCTTCAGGTCGTTCCCCTTCACCATCGGGCTACCCGGTCGCCCAGCAGCCTGATTCTCGACAACCTTACTCTTACCCTCAAAATTATAATCAACCGCATACTCTCTATCGTGCGCAGACGGTAGGGCCTGGGTTGATGGGTGATCCGTCTGTTCAATACGGTGTAAATGCCTACAGTGGTGATCCAAGAACCCACCCACAATACACTCAGGCATCCTATGGGGCTGGCGCTCACAGCAATTCGCCACCATCGCAACACGGTACTAGTTCCAGACAGTCCATGCAAAGTCTTCGGGGTCCTGGTGTTATTACACATCGTTCGTCCGACGGTGCCGATTTGGTTCACACCACATCAGCAATCACTCCCGCTCAGGCGTATCAAGCGCAAATCTACCCATCCTTGCATGCTCCCCCTAGGCCGATTGAGTTGCCACCTGGTACAGCACCAACTGCATGGTACAACAATGGCCACGCGCAACCCGCATCTTCGCAACCGCATTCAACATCCACAAACACCCATTCATCCATGAACTTTCAATCCCAGACCCCTACACCTCAACCACCTGCAAACTTATTGCTTACCCTCGGAACTTCATTGCCGCCTGGGATGAATGGCTATGTGACACATTCGATAGAACGTCAGCCTAAGTGTTTTCATCATGACGTGCTCAGAACAACCCCCTGACTGTTCGTTCGTATGACCCACCTCACAATTTTGTAGGCACTGGAGCGGCTCAATCAGCGCCGTCGCATAAATCTCAGCCTTCTGTAGATTCAGATGTGACGTCCATTGCAGAGTCCGCCCGAACTCGTCCAACGCCCGGTTCAATGCGAGTTGACACCTCCGTTGTTCCCCACATGCTGTCATCATCAACAGCGCACATGAACGACATGCGACAATCAGGTGGTCGTCGGTCCAACGACTCTGCACACACCGTTCCATATTCAACCATGCAGAGCAGGGTGACGGGGTATGACGGATCCATAACGACCCGACATCGCTCATCCACCTCGACAAGCGGTCCCAACCGACCCATGTCTGTGCCATCCTCCCCGGCTTCCACTACACGTACCAACAGCAGCAAGCCAATGCCTCCGCTACCTCGTATGCCTCCTACGCGCCGGCCACCTCCCGTCTATGCTGCTCTCCTGTCCAAGGTCGCAGAAGCATTCCGCGAGCGCATCACACCATCTTTGTCTGGGCGCGTTAAGAATGATCTAACGTATAAAGATGCGTTTGACGGTCGTGAGGCGGTAGCTAAAATTGCCGAAATAATCCGGACGACGGATCGGAACCTGGCACTACTTCTCGGAAGAGCCCTCGATGCGCAGAAATTCTTCCATGACGTGACCTATGAGCATCGGCTGCGCGATAGCGTTAGCGAAATATACCAGTTCAAGGGTAGCGTCCCAACACCTTTCATGGATGTGGATGGCGACAAGACGGCGACCGGCGCTCCGAGCAAGGACACATCCCCGCAAGACATTGGCACTGGTTCTGCTGGGCGTGATGCTCATAGCGTCCATGGATCTTTTGCCACGACTTCCACGAGTGAAGGAACCTTCACTACCGTCGACAACCATCGCAGTGTCCGACCTCTCCCTGTACCTCTGACAAGGCAAGCGCAACATAAATCCCTTTCTTCTTCCTCTGTTACCACATCCGAAAATACCCATTCTTCTGGTCTCCTTTCACCAGACTCTGTAACAACTACCTCATCTGTACCCTTCCCGCCCGACGCCAGCCCCACAGACTCCAAAACCGAGGAACACGAAGAGCTCACCATTGGGCCATCGCCACGCCAACGCACCGAGTCTGTGTCTTCATCAGAGGATGCCCCTCTTCCATCTGGCGTTTTTACGCTCCTTACAGATTGTTACTCCCCAACTTGCACGAGGGATCGGCTTTGTTACAGTATTGCTTGTCCAAGGAGATTAGAGCAGCAAGCAAGGCTGAATATGAAGCAGGAAACGGTCCTGAAGAGGACAATCAGCAAAGAAAGCCTGAATGATGTTCCGGTATGGCTCAGTCTCAATTCCCGCGAATAAAATGGGTTGACTTGCCGTTGACATTTTTCAATGTAGGAGCCTGGTACCCTATGGATCCATACTGTTTCTAAAGAGCTTGCGGACAGTTTGTCAGATCGCGAGAAGAAGCGGCAAGAAGCCATTAACGAGGTCATGTATACGGAGCGAGACTTCGTGCGTGACATGGAATACTTACGTGATGTGAGTGAAATTTAATCAGAAACCTTTTGAGTTACTCATAGCCATGCATCTTAGAAATGGATGCGACCTCTGAGCACTCGTAATATCATTCCTGAGCCACAACGGCCGGACTTCGTGGCGCAACTTTTTTGGAATTTGAACGACATCATTACGGTCAACACTCGTTTACGTGATGCCCTTAACAAACGTCAGAAACGGAGTGCAATCGTCGAATCTATAGGAGACGTCTTCTTTGATGTTGTTCCACAATTTGAACCGTTCGTCATCTACGGCGCCCACCAGCTCTATGGAAAGTTTGTGTTCGAAAAAGAGAAGAGTTCTAATCCCGCTTTCGCACAATTCGTGGATGAGGTGGAGCGGCTGCCGGAATCGAGGAAGCTCGAGCTAAACGGCTATTTGACGAAGCCTACCACCCGTCTTGCGAGGTATCCACTCTTGTTAGAGGCTTGTCTTAAGCTGACTCCGGATGACCATCCGGACAAGACAGCCATTCCGAAAGCAGTAAAAATCATTCGAGAGTTCCTCGGCAGAGTGAACGTGGAAAGCGGGAAGGCGGAAAATAGATTCAATCTCCTACAGCTTCATCAACAACTCGTGTTCCGCCAAGGAGAACCCGAGGTACAGTAATATGAAGGATAAAAACGTGTAGCCCGTCTAATAATTCACAGGATCTGCGCTTACTTGATGAAAACCGCGAGCTGATTTACAAAGGGCAACTGAAAAAAGAGAGCACAGATTTGCAACTTTTTTTGTTTGATCATGCATTGTTGATTGTCAAGGCGAAGACTAAACACGAACAATATAAAGTCTTTCGAAAGGTACGTTTGGTATTTGCTTAGGAGTGGCGCAACCTCTTAAATGCGTATCCCTAGCCAATACCCCTCGAGCTTCTGATGATATGGCCATCTTCCGAGGACCCATCCACTCTCCGTGGGGCAAACCGACCAAGATCTGCTCTCATGTCAGGGCGAAGTTCTGGCACCAAGTCAACACTTGGGGTGCACCCGATGGCCACCCAACCCTCAACGAAACCGGACCCTAAGGGAGGCTTCCCTATCACATTTATTCACCTTGGGCGGAAGGGGTATACATTGACACTCTGGGCGAGTACATACATTAGCCGGGAGAAGTGGATGGATCATATCTTCAAGCAACAAGAAAACCTGAGGGACAGAAGCACCATCCTTGAACCACAGGTGATCAGTCAAAATTTCTTTGGCGGCTCGAACAGGGTGAATTGCGCGGCCCCTCTGAGTGCGTGTTATCCTCCCTTCACACAAGTCTGCTTTCAAACTGTCACCCACAGACCATGGTAGACGTATCGTATATGGAACGGATGATGGAGTGTATTTCACTGATCTCCGAGAACCGCTTCGAGAACCCGTCAAGATGCTTGCTTTGGTGGAGGTCACCCAAGTAGATGTGCTGGAGGACTATCAGTTACTAATCGTGCTTTCGGGTGAGCAGGTATCACCCTAGCGAGTGCTCTTAACGGAAGTAACATGACATGTATAGAACGAACCGTCATGACCTTCCCACTTGAGGCCCTTGATCCTAGGGACCCTACTGCAGGCCTGAAACGTGCTAAACGAGTCTCTTCACACACGTCTTTTTTCAAGGCTGGCATGTGTCTAGGCAGAATGCTTGTTTGCGTTGTGAAAGCGAGCGCACTCTCCACTACAATAAAAACGTTGGAACCTATTGATCAGAACCAACGCGGCAAGAATAAGCCTACCTTCAAGAAGCTTCTGCAGGGGGGCAACGATACTTTACGGGTGTTTAAGGTCGGTGCCGCCAGGCCGAGACGTTGCTGATGACAAGGCGGCTGACTGATCTTTAGGAATTTTACATTCCGGTTGAGTCAAGCTCAATACATTTTTTGCGTACGAAGCTTTGTGTTGGATGTACCAGGGGCTTTGAAATCGTGGATTTAGAGACGTTGGATGCTCAGGGTCTTCTGGATCCTAATGATACTTCCCTTGATTTTGTTCAGAAGCGGGAGAACGTCCGTCCGATGGCTATCTATCGTGTCGACAACGAATTCTTGCTTTGCTATGAAGGCTAGTGGCACGCTTTCAAGGTCTTACCATCTTTTTCACCAGCCTCCACTTTTAGACTTTGCGTTCTACATCAACAAGAATGGATGGCGATCAAGAGCTGGGTGGATCATTCATTGGGAGGGGACACCTAAAGCGTTTGGTGCGTTGCAATGATGTCATCGGTCCCTTCAATTTCTTACGCGATATTCTCCCGATCAGCCCTTCATTATCCCTATGTTCTTGCGATTGATCCCACATTCATCGAAATACGCCATGTTGAGACTGGTTTAATGGCGCAAGTTATTCCAGGAATCAACCTTACCTGCCTTTTTGCCGATACTCCCCCATCCACCAACACTGCGACGCTGCAGTATGGCCATCCTGGTCCCTATGGCAGCATCGGCACGAACTCATCCCGACAGGCCGGATACAGTTATGGCCCACCGCAACACTCACAATTCTATGGTCGACGTGACCCTCACGTCCGAGACGACATAATCCTGTTGATGGATGATCGTGTTGTCTCGTTACGATTTTCGCCTGCTTACATTCCCCCCGTTTCCTCGAGACCTCCTCTTTCTCCTGCACACACATCTAATGCTCATCCACCCTCGAACTATCCCGGCGTGCCTCGATGAGCACACTGAGCCCAAATGAAAGATCTTGATCCCTCTTGCCTTGGTTTTCGTCCAATATCCACATAGTTTTCGTTATTTTCCTTCACGCCTTCTGGTGCTCCATTGATCTCGGTTTCTGTGACGACCCTTAATTGTACGAGTTGTTGTGAGGGTTATTCCCACGGAATGTTCTTGCCATGTACTTAAGTCCGAGCATTGATTATAGTTCCTGTGTTAAATCCGCTCCGTTTAGTTTCGTTGCCATCCAGTCCAAGCCAAACGAAGATACCCGCTCTCTTCTTTTACTCTCGTTCCAACACCACTCTCGGGCGCGACACCAGTGTTTGCGAGTGGTCAGACGCTCACTAACTAATAGACTGTTCTTGTCAGCAGAAGTAAAATACCATCATGAAGTTCTCCGTCGCCGCCGTGTCTCTGGTTGTGACGACCTTGACGTCTGGAATTCTCGCTCATGATCCTGACGCTCGTTATGCGGGAAACAAACGTCACCTTGCCTGGCGGCGTCAGGTCAGTCTCGAAAACATATCTGCGCTTCTTGGGGGACTGAGACGAACGCACATGAAAAATTTATTTCTAGCATGTCACCAGCTCCTCGACCTCGAGCAGCGCGTCGCGTACGACTGTATCCAGTTCCCATGCAACCTCAAGTATCTCCAGTACGACTTCGAGCGGCTCTACTGCCACTACGAGTAGTCCTACTACGGTTCTGAGCGGTTCAACTACCACTCCTGGGACTGCCGTGACAACTACGACACCTTCCAGCACCTCAACACTCGATGGGAATTATATCCCGCCACTTTCTCAGATCACGTCCGGTATGCCACTTCAAGGGACGGTCAATATGTTCACGACGTTCTCTGCTGGAGCAACTCCTCCGGTCGCTGGAGCTCCGCCATTGCCCTCCAGTGCGTCCGAGAATAACTTACCATCTTGTGATTCATGACGTTTCTGATTCCATATCCTCAGTTACGGTTGTGCCGGCTAACTATCCCGCCTTGGATGTGGTTCCTCCCACGGATTCCGATCAGGTTAAGGAATGGTTGAACCTTCTCAATGGCGTAACCATTCCCAATATTCCGACCACAGGCGATGGAACTTGCGCTTCTAATCCTAGTCTCGTTGCCAATGGTACCTCCTCTGGAAGTTGCTGGTGGACATGTGGTGGTTGTACGCGCAGTACGGATGTTTCGGTCTGCCCAAACAAAGGCACTTGGGGCGTCAGCTATGACGATGGTCCAAGCCCTTATACTCCTCACCTTATCAATTATTTGAATGAGAAAAGCCTGATAGCCACTTTCTTCGTTGTAAGTTGCACCAATGTTCATAATTCCTTCGCAACACTCACCCTCCACATTTAGGTTGGTTCACGAGTTATCTCTCGACCTCAGATGCTTCAAACTGAATATATGCTTGGCCACCAGGTAAATCAAGATTCTTATACTCATACTAGAAACGACGGGTTTAGCGTTCCTTTTAGATCAGCGTTCACACTTGGAGCCATCATCCCCTCAGTGAGTAATTCGTGATATCGCTTCCTATGTGGACTCACATGCACCATTCTAGCCACCCTAACCAATGAGCAGATTGTGGCGGAACTGGGCTGGACGAAGAAGGCGATTAAGGATGTCCTTGGTGTTACTCCAAACACGATGCGTCCTCCATATGGAGACATCGATGACCGTGTTCGTGCTATTTGCAAGGCCATGGACTTGATTCCTATCCTATGGCACGTACATTTGTTGGGGATGCCTACCCTGGTCTAACGTGACTTTTCTCTCAGGACAAGCAGTGGTAGCACCGAATTCGACACCAATGATTGGAAGATTCCTGGAGGGACTGCGACCGGTGATTCATCATACACCGCATTCCAGCAAATCCTGTCTCTCGCTGCTTCGCTTTCCACCGGTTTCATTGTCCTGGAGCACGATCTGTACCAGCAGACGGTAATGATGGCCATTGGTTACTTCCTTCCACTGGCGTTTAACCAGACGTCTAGTGTAAGTCTTGAAAATCGTTGAAATATGCCGCGGCTAATTAATTGCATGCCAGCTGAAACTACAACCCATCAATGAATGCCTTGGAATTTCTTTGGCAAATGTCTATGAAGAGACTAATAGTAATGGGACAGGTACCGGAGGCACGGGGACGGCGTCATCTCACCATAGTCCCACTCAAGGCGGACAGGGAGGAGCTGCTGACACAGCCGCACCTGTTCCCACCAAAGCCCTAGTGGCCCTGTTCATATCTTTCTTGATGATGATGGTTGGTGCGACACTTCTTGGCTGAGCCTGAAGTTGGCATAGTTGTGGAGACAGAGGATTGTTTATTCATACGCTCCCGAATCATTTTTCCTGACTTCCTTTTTCTTTTATCATATTATCCCTTTTATTCCTTTCACTCGTTGATGCATGGGTACTTCGTCCCACCTCTCACTGCCCTTGTTACCTCATCAACCTGTCGTAACTCACGCCGTTCCAACTAAAGGACTTGTTCTTTATTCCGCGGATTATGCGCTTGATGAATATTCACAGACTTGAACCAATCAAACTCCCCAGTGCTTCCTACAACTAAGCTTGTTGGCTATGTATACTTATCGTAACACAGTGACTGGCCCCATTGCTTGAGAATAAAGGTTGTGCTGTCACGAATCGAACCGAAGCTCCCGAAGTGCTCGACGCCTAGAACCTCTGCACCATTTCCGAGTTTTATGTAACACCTGGAGTACCCGCACCCCTCACTTGCTTACGCAGGCAGGCTTGGTCACCACCTAGAAATCGTAATCATAATTTCACTCATTGTGACATCATAGTTCACCTTTCACGCGAAATTTTCCTGTCATAATCTATCACTGCACCCTTCCATTCCCCTCAGAGCCTTGAACACTGAACGTGCTACTGAGCGCCGCGTTTTTTGCCTTCTGAATGTCACCCAAGGGAAGGAGATATGGGGAAGCTGTATGACAGCCCCCTTGCAGATTCCGACTACCTCGTACCCGATGGAACAAGATGGGGTTACCCATGAAAGTGTGGAGTTGCGCTGGAGTACTTCAGAGTCTGGCCCGTTTCCATGAAATCAGGTCATATCCTTCCCGCACCAATGACGTCGTATCGTTTATTACCCAAACCATATCACGTACTCGGGAAAGCTTCTTTACTCCAACCCTTCTGGGGCAATCATTTTGGAGTCGAAGTTGAAGGGCATTTACCTTGAGAGACTTCAAACCTAGCTTTCCCATAGAGCCCAAGGCAAACAAACCATGCCATATAACTGCGCACAACGCACAGGTAGTCTGAGCGTACGTGTTTCTGAAGCCAAATTCAGATGTTCCTGTGTCAGGCGCGAATTTGGAGTTGTGGATAATTACTCTCCACAGTCCGAATCGAGGCTAGCGTCCCAATACTCAATATCATGATCAACCTGCACAGTTATTGTGAATCTAAATTATGCCCACTTGCCGCACCAAGTTGTACCTAGCCCCAGCAACCCAACTCCGACAATAATTGCACGCCCATTCCGGTATCGACAGGTCTACTGAATCACACGCCTATCAGGTTATCGCCACACTGTCACCTGCAATATTGGAGCTCGCCGGATCGGTCCCAATTGCCAACTGTGAGTCTATAAAGAGCACCACTCCATAAGTAACTCGGTACGTGAGCGATGGATACTGAGCTGGAAGCTTTTTTCTGGCCGGAGTTTCTTGAGGGCTGCCACGTAAGTCCTCGCTACGGTGATACGAGCTAATCTCAAAACCATTCAAAGGACTTATCAACATCCGGTGCCTTTTCTCACCAAGATGCTCCAGGAGAGATAGAATATTTTTATCCAGAATTCTTTTCGTTGTCTGTGGCTTTCAATCCTCACGCCGAGTTCCCGTATCCGTATTCTGGAATCCCTCCGGATACCATTCTACAATCGTCGGACCAAATCCTGTTCTATGTTCATCGCGATCGATTGCAGACGCGATCCCGCAACGGGTTTGGAGGCTTGTTGAAGAAAGCAGGGGCTCGCGTCGTGATCCGACCAACGGTACACCAAGTCTCGGAGCCCAGCCAAATCATCGATCGGTTGCTTCACATACTTTACGTGTGTTTCCTTGGCTTGAATCGTGCCGGTTTGTTTTGGCTCTAACTCCGGGTCACGCACCGTGATCTTGTAGGGTATTTCTTCCCGCGTCTCTAATCCCGACCTGGAAGTAATGTTCCAAGCTTTCGATGCGCTTGAGAAGTATGGCTGCCCACTCTCAGAGTGTGTACCCCCCGAATCAGAAGTGTTCACCGATATTATTGCCCAAGCTGCGGATCCTCTCTTGAACCCGCTCTCCGTTTACATATTAGCAGCCTCTCGAGGCCTCGAACAGCTGGCGGTAGCGTGCTCATTCCATGTCTTGCGCGTGCCGTTTACATCTATCGACGAGCAAGCTGCTATCACCATGGGACCGATATACTTTCTTCGACTCGGGCGTCTTGCTAACGATCGGAAGAAAGCGTTGAGCAAGTTGCTCCTGAGATTCCCTGACCGGCATGAAAACGCGATATCGTGCAGCCTGGAGTGCCAGAATGGTGTCATGAGAGCGTATGGGCTCATTGCAGGTTACCTGACTTGGGAGGCCAAGCCAGATGAAGACGGGGAAAGGATCAAGAGGTGTTTCACAAAGTTATTGGGCAGCGTGGACTGTCCGAAATGCAAAGAGAATGTTTCCAAGAGCGTGCAACGAATTCTGGACGGATGGGCAGAGGTGAGGAAGACCATATGACCTTCGCGCGGGAACTTGGCTGGGCGTTGTTGTGAGTTCTCTGAGACTTGCGTCTTGCCAGAGCTGATCCATTTTTCAAAACTTCAGGAGCGTTTGTCCGATTCGGCCCCCAAAATTCCCCCAGTCATGCGGCCCGCTTTCACAGGAACACGACAAAGGAACAAGCAGGATTGAATATATCCAGGCTGTCTAACTCGAGCCTGTTATCATCATCGGTCCAATTGTTTTATTTAGCCGCTGAAGCTTGTCAATTCATTACATGACATGTGAGTGAGTGTGTTTGTTACAGCAAAGGTGCCAAAAAATCGGCGCGAACAAAACTCCGATTTGGGCGCTTATCATCGTGCCCCAACGGCACCGCTGCATGAAGACCATATGTCCATGGCAAGACTTTGAATCAGGGATCACTGGAGGTAATCGGTGAGATTAATGTGTCAACGTTTTACACATGCGTGAGCGGCTTTGGTCACGAAAAATCATGGACACTGAGCCAGGTATCGACTAACGTACCCTGGAGCTCTAGCGTGCTACCACTAACAGTTCACTTGTGCAATCATCCGTCACTTTGCTACCATTTATTCAAAATGTGACACATTCCGTGGGATCGGCACTTGTGACATTAGGGGGTTTCATGGTAGAACGACTAAACTGAGTCTAGATTGGGTAAGATTGGCCCAAGTTTAGACCAAACCAAAAGCGTTCACAGTGAAGGGCAGGTTCTGAGTCGAGTTCTCCCGTGATATTAAATGTTCCCGTCACTTAAACATCAGCGCAGGGGGCAAGTGCGGTCCTGTAAGCACAGCGTGTATAGTACATCAGGATGGACAACGTTTCGATCTCCACCGATGACATTGCATCAGAGGAGGGCCAGGGCCAAACGGCTGTAATGCCTCCGGCATTGCGGCTCTTGGACATCTTGACTATTTTGTTCGATGGCTGTCCTAAAGCAACTCTGGCGTCAGCGGCGCAAACTTGCAAATTGTGGTCGATCCCGGCTCTGAAACGCTTGTGGCGAGTGCTTGATACTCTTTTGCCTTTCCTTCGGCTGCTCTTTGAAACGTGGCCTCCTGTTTCCGATGTGAGTGTTTCGTCGTACTACTATTTCCATGGATGAATATGAACGCTATCTACTGTGATGTGTAGAACAGAAATTTCGAGCCAAGGATCCAATTTTATGCACAATTTGTTCAATCTATCACCGTTCATATTGGATACGACAGCATTCATCCCCTGCTAACCAGCGTGCTTACCCATGCGGTACAGTTTTTACAACCACCTCCGTTCCAGCATCTCATTTCTTTGGATTGCTTCTTCAATGGACCAGAGGCAACCCGGGAGGCCGGCATTTGGCTTGCTATACGCCCTCCCAAGATCTCGCTCTCTTTCTTGAGTTCAACAGAAGCCACCTATCTTTCAGTCATTCGATCGCTCTATCATCACGGCGCCTCCTTAACATTCCTCAGTCTGCACATGGACAAAACTTCAGAACTTAGTGAAGCCGTCAAAGAGTGCATTGTGAATGCATTGAAACCGCTGGATAACCTTGCTTGCTTGGCTGCAGACGGACACATTCTCTTTACCCCAACCGTCTGGACGTGCATCGCGCAATTACCCAACTTGGAAGAAGTCCGCTCGCCATTCTTCAAGGGGGGATTCCACGCCACATCCGGTTCCTCAGCCTGGCTTAGTTTCGAACCTTCTACATTGGATGCTCCATTCCCCTCCCTTCGCACTCTCGAGATGGTTGTCCCATCCAAGTTAGCAGCCATCATTTTAGGGTATTATCCCTTGGATGGCGTCCATTGTCTTGGACTGCTACTGACAGACAACAAGAACGATCCGCCAACAGAGCAGTCGCTAATCCAAATAGTCACCAGTTGTAAATCGTTGCATCGATTACTCCTCGTCGCCCCTTATTCTAGGCTCCCTGTACTGCAACTGCCTCTATCTCCTGATCTCACTCATTTGGTGGTCTGCACTGATAGTGTTGGGACGATTGATAATGCCGACTTGGTATATCTATGCTCTAAGACGCCCAACCTCGAAGCATTGGAGTTGGTCCCTACACGGGTCCTTGGAAATCCGCGCCTAACGCTGGAAGTCATACGATCAATCGCAGAGGTATGCCCTCGTCTTGAGCGCGTTTCGTTGTACGTCGATACGGACGTCTCGGGTATCCGATTCTCTTTCGATGACGCTCCGATCCCTTCGAATCATCCACTTTCCACTCTATGCTTCACGCCGTCCGAGGTCTTGAATCGCTCCGAGGTGGCAACGTATCTTTGCACTTTGTTTCGGGATGCCCAACGTGCACCGATAATCGTGGCTCTAAGTGTTTGCTTCGGTCGACATTTTGGCTGGAAATGGCCAATTTACGAGGATTCTGAGGAGGAATGGGAGTGTGTTGCGGAGTTTATGGATACGCTTTGGAGGCGAGTCGTCCCTTCTTTCCGGAATCGATTGGGGCAGAAGGATGCAGAACTGGAAGCGTTACGGAGGGAACCCCGATCTTAACCGCCGGGGAAGTTGTAATGAAGAGGGTTCTGTTTTTTTTTTTTTGGGTGGCTATAAAGAGTTTGGGGATTACCAGGACTGTTATAGGTACTTTGAGGATGCGTGGAGTTTTTAGGTTCTCCTTCGGATTTATTGCGCCAAGCTGGAACTCGGAATGTTCAAGTACACTTCGCACCCATTTTTCTTTCTCACCGTGCGATTATTCCTGTTGTCTACGGCTCTCTCCTTCACACCTGCTTTTGGCTCCCCCTTTGCTCAGGATTGCCTTAGTATTTTATTGATCACACCCGCAACTTTTGCAGTGACTTGGCAAAATACCCTAGCCCCAATTGCAGTAAACACACACTCAATACAATCTTGTAGGGTATTTCTCCCTGCGCCTCTAATCCCGGGAAGTATGGCTGCCCACTCTTAGAGTGTGTACCCCCCGAGTCAGAAGTGTCCACCGATATTATTGTGCAAGCTGCGGATCCTCTCTCGAACCCGCTCTCCATTTACGTATTAAAGGCCTCGAGCAGCTGGAGGTAGCATGTTCATTCCATGTCTTGCGCGTGCCGTCCTCATCTATCGACGGGTAAGCTACTATCACAATGGGTCCGGTATACTTTCTTCGACCTGGGCGTCTTGACAACGATCGGAAGAAAGCGCTGCTCCTGAAACCCCCTGACCGGCATGAAGACGTGATAACGTGCAGCCTGGAGCACCAGAACAGTGCCACGAGCCCCATTGCAGATTACCTGACCTTGGGAGGCCAAGCCAGATGAAGACGGAGAAAGGATCAAGAGGTGTTTCACCAAGTTATTGGGTAGCGTGGACTGTCCGAAATGCAAAGAGAATGTTTCCAAGAGCATGCAAACGAATTCTGGGTGCCGATGGGCAGAGGTGAAAGAAGACCATGACCTTCGAATCGCGCGGAAGGCTGGGCGTTGTTGTGAGTCACTGAAACCTGCGTGTTACCAGAGCTGATCTGTTTTTAGGCTTTTTTGGCGCTGCATCACTGAAACACGACAAAGGAACAAGCAGAATTGAATATATCCTTGTCGAACTCGAGCCGGTTCTAATCATCGGACCAATGATTTTGTCCCGTCAGGCGATAGCCACCGAAGCTTGTCGATACGCATGCGAGGTGTTTGTTAAGCAGCTAGCCTCGAGCCTCGAGTCGCCGGAGGTATCCGGCGCGTGGAGCTTTTTACAGAGCGCGCAAGTTCCGCGCAGAAATTACCTTACACAGCTTCTCTGCTTACGGACGTTGACCCATACATCTGGACTACGAGCGTAACTGCTAGGAGACGGGTTGCCATATTTGGAATGGCATTCTAACACGTTGCAGGGCCAATGCTTGTCGTTCTTTGAAGAACACGACGCTCCAAGATCGATTAGAATGCGACATTCGCTTACGGGCACTGGAGGAGACGTACGGTGCTCAGCCCAAAATGAAATACTGGAGTACTGGAATTGATCCCAATGCTGAAGGGAAATTATCGCATTGGCGAATCAGATGTGGTTGTGGCCAGTTCAACACGGACACGGATGTGAAATTTCGGCATGTCCGAACGCGCCACAAAAACAAGTCCAAATGTGACTGAACACCTGATGGATTCTGGAGCAGTCTAGCCCCGGATTATAATCTGCTGGAATCATGACCCTGGAATGCGGGAACAACTGCGTTGGATTACATAAGACTTTGGGCAAGAGTGGTGCAGGGGCGCAACGTTTCATTGTCGACGTACAGCTTCTCCACACACGACAGAGTGTCTGGTCTACTCGATAGCGCCTCTATACAAGCTGGCAGTCGTGGACCAAGGGCTCGATATGTGGTTTGTGGGGCGTTTGGGGTGGTCCCTGCGCTTTCCAGTTGAAATCGACGATGATGCGAAGGCCTGCAGACGCCTGGGTGGAGCCATGAGCCGAATTTGTTCGAGGCAGTGTCTAATTTATTCCGGCAATGGGCTGCATGATTTTCGCGGGCGTTTCGAAACATTTGGGTTCTCTCCACATCAACTCATGGCTAATTCGTACTTTTACACAAGGAAGGGTTTCACTGCATGTGAGAGGGAAGAGGGACCAGTGAGATATCTCAGAATCCGAGTAAGTCCCCTGGCATTGAACAGTTTCAGAGTCCAGGTGGTCCAACTCCCGTTCATTGAACTATCGTACTTTAATCTACATTCGGGTGAATATAGATTCATCGGCCAACTTGAATTTAGTAGGTCTGCCTTGCCCTTTGGGCCGCCGAGTAGAAACTGAATTGGATGCGAGGCGGTGCCCTGGCCGTGGATCGCTTGGCAACAGCACCCTCCGCGTGCGGAAGAGGGTTCTTATTCAGTCCCAAGTGCATAAAGCTTTCCATGAATTTTGGAGATGTACAGTCTTCGACTGGTTCGACCACAGATCAGCCAAAATGGGCGACCAGGCTGCAGAAATTCAATGGGGCTCGTTTGGCTCTCTAGTTCGTGTTCCTCCTCGTTCGATCGGCATCGCTGTAGACTGACCATTACGCCATACATATTTAAAGGAAACGCTAACGACCTGTGACATCGACGCCATTTCGAACTTCGACCAAGATTTTATCGTTGTGTCGACTGCGTTCAATCTGCATACCCCATTTCCTTCCCCCTACACGGATAACCCCCCGGACTGTATCCTCCAAACTTCAGATCAGATCTTGTTCCACGTGCACAGAGAAAGACTTCAAAGCAAATCTCGGACCTCCTTTGGTGGCCTCTTCACCGATAGTTGCGCCATTGCGCTGGACGGCTCATCGGTTGTTTTCCTCGTTGACGAAGATGCTAGAGTCATCAACTGCCTACTCCACATCCTTTATGTACGTACGCGAATTTGTCTCTAACTCTTTACCTTGATGGCACCTGCCGATGTCGGGTCTTTCTAAATTGCAGGGAATCTCTTCACGTATTTACTCTCCGGACTTCGAAACGATTGCTCAAACTTTCGATGCCCTCGTCGAGTATGGCTGTCAGCTCTCTGAATGCGTACCCGCAGATTCCGAAACTTTCATAGATCTCATGTCTTACTCCGCAGACCCGAATGCTGATCCATTGGCGGTCTACACTCTTGCAGCATCGCATGGTTTCGAGGAGTTAGCAGTTCAATGCTCTTATTACGCATTGCGTGTCCCCATATCTTCCATCGATGCGCAAAGCTCCATTACAATGGGTCCCCTATATCTAGCCCGCCTTTTCAGGCTCCATGAAGCTCGAAAAGCCGCACTAGATAAGTTGCTCCTGAATCCGCCAGAATTGCACGAAAATGCATCGGACTGTGACTGGGAGTTGAGGATGAGCGTGATGCGAGCTTATAGTCTGGTCGCAGGATATATAACATGGGAGGCGAAGGCCGATACCAGTCCTGCGTGGATCAATAGCCATTTCGAGATGATGATGCAGAGCGTGGGGTGCCATGATTGCCGGAAAGGCGTGCGCGTGAGGGTGATGGGTGTTGTAAGCGCTTGGGATGAGGTAAAGAAGACGATTTAAGAAGAGCGAGGCCTCCGGGCCCGGGTACTTTAGGAGCACAACATCCAATCCCACTCCGCATAGCTCTGTTGACGGTGATGTCTCTTGACTCTTGGAAGGTAACAGGGCTAGAAGATCCAACATCATCACAATGTACGTGGTTACACCGGTGTGAGATGCTAATAGATTGCAAGGCGAACAAGAGAAGCCGCATTCTCTGGATTAATCATCATTCTGATAGCGGCGTGCCTGCATGCACATCGGCAAAGCCAGACAAAGATGCTCCAAATGCTCCACACTCCAAATGCTGGGTTCTGGGGTTCTCTGGAGCATCCTAGGCAGTGGCCAGTTGATTTTCCTAATGGAGATGGGTCATTACTGACCCAACATTGGATTGACCCTTAGTTTCGTGAACGGTCTATCTGTTGTACCCATCTCCAAAACAGATTTGAAACCCTGCATGGCAATGCCAGTGCAGTGTGCGAACGACTAAAAAATCGGGGATAGGATGGACAGGGAACGTGGTCCAATCAGCACTTGGAGCTTAAAAGTGTTGCTTTGTGGCGTCAACGCACTCGGCCTTTTTGCGCCAGGTTCCTGAGGATTATTACTTGGGGCACGCTTCTCTGGTCCAGAGTGCTCCAACACATACGTAAAGGTAATGAAGTGGCTACTGGCTTGCGAAAATGAGCCGTACGGATGCAACAACGAGCAAAGTCCGGGGCTGCAGGAACCAAGTCTGACGAAAAACCCAACGCTTCGAAGAACTCGAGACATGTATGATCACTAGCATGCCAGAACGGCTTCATCCTTAGACCGAGGTGCCATTCTCGAGCAGTAGTGGTTTCGGCCATGACCGTGCAGCCTTTGTTACATGAATGAACGATCCAGTAATGACTTTGGCATCTTTGTTGTTAACGGCCGGTGATGGTAAGTGAACAAATTAAGGAAGTGCCCACACCACAGTGAAGTGATGGTGCAGTTCCCACAAATTTTCACCACACGCAGGACTCCTTGTGCATTGAGTCAATCAGACTCGAACCGATAGAGGCGGGGGACAAAGAAATGGAAGGAACTCGATACATGCGTTGAACCACGTTACGGGGCTGCCCCACAGACCTGGCATGGCTCCCGAAGAGTGGAGCAGTAAGGACCCTGAATGAACAAAAGTACCCGCAACTTTAAAGCCCGGCCAACAATGAAATCGTCGCGGACATCCCAAATACCAAATCAAAACTGGTTGGAGCACTGCTGGTAGGAGAAGGTAGGTCGCATACGAACGAAACAAGAAGCGCAGTGTCATCAAGACATTGACATCAACCAACCCAATTCCATCATAATTCCAACGTCAGGGAACAAATCAATTGAGTTTGCAACACTGCCTCTCAATTGAAATGTCAATATTGATGGTAGTGGCTCCAGATTCGAAAGCAAGGAAAAATAAATTTACAGACAACATGAGCAATCCGTACAAGTGCGTAACGTTACAAACTGGGGGGAGGGATAGGAGAAACAAGCAAGAATCAAATGAGGGGAATGAAAGATGAAGTTGGTGTGTGTGATGAAAAACAAATGTCAGATTAACACCGTGAATCGCGTGTTTAGAGCCTAGTGATAGCCTTGGAATCGAGTGGCATCCCTGTCACCAGAAGAAAAAGAAACGAAAAGGTTTAAAGAACGTCAAGAGATATTGTCAAACAACTCCCGTCACTAACCGGTGTTAGGATCGATACCGTTCCGGGCGAGATATTCCTTATGTCTAATCAACCTAGCTTGGTCAAAACTATACCCGATGCGAGAAGACAGCATAATCGAGAACCGCCCGCATTGAGAGTCGGGGAAAAAAAAAAAACAGAGAGAAAATACTATCAGCTAAGCGCCCGATCATCACCACCTTGAACACTCACGTAACACCCCTTGCTTGCATGATCCTTCTCACTTCCTCCTCTCCTCTCTCATCAAGCCCAACTCTAGAATCGCCATCGATGTTCCCTTCTAGATCGAACATGTTCGAACTGAGCCCTGCATCACGTTGTGCTTCGAACGTTGATAGAGGGACATAATGACGACCGAATCTTCCAAAGAAGGAAGTGGGTAAGATGGAGAGGAGTCGCTGTGGGACGTAAGGTGCTAAACGGGCACGATGATAGTATGCAACTGCGGTGTGTGAGAGAGAGGGGGGGGGGGGGGGTTGGAATCAACAATTGGTGTTATTGTTTTCAACCTACGTTCGATGAGTGCTTACGCAGAAGGGAGAGGGCTATCAGAGATAGTATCGAGAGTGTGTAGATCATCGTCGACGACTTGTTGAAAGTCGAACCAGTTCAGGTGCAAAGGCAGTTATGTACGAGAGAAATATGTGGGAGCGGAAGAAGAAGCGGCGGCTGTGCCCTCGGTACATCCTTGCCCGTGGCTATGTTTCGGGGCGGCGCTTGCCGACCAACCTCCCTCCAGCAACCGGAGAGAAGGCTGAGTCCGAATCACAGAACAGTCACTACTTAAATCGCCGTCGCAGGGATACCAGCATCCCCTCCACTCAAGTGGAGTAATCTCGGATTTGGCTCATCATGATCATCAAATCACGAACACCCTCGAAATAGGCAGCTGCAAGCAAACCTGCGCGGCAAAGTTTGCATGAATGGCTTCGTTTTATTCCAGTTCCCACAACGAACGACAACCTTGAAACGAGAAGGCGTACTTAAAATCAAATTTCTTTCGTGTAAGGAAGCATTACTACCACTGTACAAAAGATGGAAGCAAATGAGAAGGAGAAGACAAGAGAGTCCAAGAAATGTTCGATTACACATGAATGATGCATGTAGGAATGTCCGCTGTCAATGATGTACAAAAGGGTTTGGCAAGCTGGTTAAAAAAAAACAAAAAGATGAGGATGAGAAACATTATTTGTTGAAGTCGTTCAATATCGTCAAGAAAAAAAAAACATGTATCCATGAAAACGTTAACTCGTGGATCATTGTACGGAACCAATGAAGGAATCCTTTAGAAGAGTTTGAGAGCAACAATGTTGGCATCGGTGCTGCATTGCAAGGTCGCGATTCCAGACGTCGCCGTGCCGCTCACACCATAGGTACCAGCAGCACATTGATTTTGGAAGAAATGGTATGAACCATCTTCCTGAGTGCTAAGTATTGCCAATCGCGCGTAAGGATTCTTACCATGGTATGCGTAATGATTTGCACAAACTTACTTTCCCGCGAAGAGAATCGTTCCATCGCTCTGCCTGATGAAATTGGAGAATGTGGAACCACTGTCGTCGACGTAATAGCAGTCATCGACGGTCACGGTGAACGGAGGGCCGCTATAGGGAGTCTGCAGGGACAAGCATTTGCCAGTGGATTTGACGACAAGGTGGCCTGGAAGAAATGGGATGCATATAATTTTGTTTAGCTTCCCACGCTCATGAAGCGAAGGCGAGACAAACCTTCGGTTGGTGTCCCATTCGTCCCGTCATAGCGACCGAAGTTTGGTTGACAGTTCTGGACGTCGACCTCTAGGCCGGACGCGCTGTACGAGAGCTTGTTGGACGCGTCCAGGTTGAGCTTGTGCCCGTTCGCTGATCATCATCAGAGTTAATTTAATTTGTTGGATGAGTGAGAGGATCTAACAAGCACATACTCGTCTTCAAAAAGCCAGTTGCAATAGTTGTGCACTGAGAGGTTGGTACGATGCGCTTGTCTAGCGGGAGGGCCGAGGCGAGAGAGAGGAGACCAAAGACGAATGCGAATGATGCAATCATTTCGAATTACAAGGTACTATGCGAAGGTAGCGCAAAGAAGATGCGAGAAAGCAAGTAGGACGAAGAGTAGAGTAGAAAGGAGATCAAGTGTGTATTAGAAGTGAGGAGAGAGTGGTGAGGGGTTGAGGCAAGTGTCAGTCATCCGCCGTTATATAGGCTGGCAGGTGAGACTGAAGTGCTGATGTAAGTCGACCTTAGCTTCGTATTACCATAGCGTTTTGCAAGCATCATTAGATTAATCGCAAGGTTGCTGCGGAGACTTGCTCCCAATTACCATGATCTTACATCATGTCTGCTATCAGGCCGCATTTTGCATATCCCATGAGTTGTTTGGCATTGCCACTTGAGGGCTTTTCTTGTTGAGACTTGCTGCACGGAGGCGATCGGTGGCTCGGATCGTCATGGTCGCGTGAGTACCGGCCGCTTTCCACCGCTGAGAGCTGTGTGATTATCAAACATTGGTGATGCCAATATTGTGCGAACTGACCCCGTTGTGTAGGTAATATAGGCAATAATTTCCCTCCACATCGGTACTGCCTCGAAGCTGGGTGTGTACGTATAAGTTCACGACAATTATCAGATGACTGGCATCAGAGACGCCCCAACACCACTGGCAATATTGGCAAGAGCCTATGCCCGGAACTCGGTAATCGCGAAAGAGTCCGCAGCGGTCCGCATTCTCGGAAACTGTTGGTGTTACATCCTGGTTTTTCAAAGATCTGCACCTTGGACTAATTCAGATTAAGGATGCAGGCAACGTCACATCATCGCTATGTAGTCGTTTCAGCTTCGACGGCTCATTTCGCGGTCGATGTATGTAACCAACCGTACCGCAACTCGCCCTTCGGCAAGCTCCGTTCTGCTTGAGTGAATTTTGCGTCCCCGGCTAGCACCGTGGGGGGCTATCGCTGAGCGTAGTTCGCTCTTCTAGAGTACGTAAAGTATTCGGATTCAGAGATTGATAACCCGCGCTTATGCGCACCCCTTACTCTAACGCTTACGTCTCACGGCACATCCCGGCTGTCAGCATTTTCACGAGACAATGACAACATCGTTGCTTTGACTCGACATGTCCCCATCTTGGCAGGGCCAAAGCGGGGAATTAAACTGGTTAAGCATCATTTTGACTCAACTGAATGCAATAGAATCGGTCAACTCCGCGAGCTATAAGTAGCCGAGAGCATAAAGCATTACAGTACTACAGGTAGCACTACACACAATTCGTCGCAACCACAAGAATCCTTTTCTGGGATCCTGTGACGTGAATAATATAACAATATAACAATAAATTCGGACAACTCCATGAGGCATTTTATTGTCACGTGGGGAATGCAAACAAATTCCCCTTTTTGGGTTTGGCAATACTTATTCCTCCTTTCGACGAACGTGCATTCTCTTTCGATAATGTCTCAAACACAACCAGAATCCCTTGCGCAAACAGCGCATTTCTCTAGCGCACCTTCTTCTCCCGTTCACGAGCGGGGAGTAATCAGCAGTACAGATGACGAGTATTTCGCCTTGATGACGCCTGGGCCTCAGCCTGGATTGAATGGCGTTCCCGTGAGATGTGAGTGGCCCGTCATCGACTCTTGGGACTTGGCATTCACCAAGAACCCATATATGCTACAACTTAAGGGTATGATGTAGGTGTATGATGTTCGGATCTGTAGCCCAAGCTGACACGCGGTGGATTACAGGCGGACCGTTCAGAGCCATACACTCGGTTTGCATCATTAATATTATCATAATTACCCCGCCTATTTCCCTCTACTCATACTCACCACACTCACCAACCTTTAATACCCACATCATTCCTTACAGGATCGTCCCATTCGACCGAACAAATGACACAAGTGTAGGATTTTTCTTCAAACCTGCAACCCTCACCGCATTGGCAATAATGTTAGGTAGAGAGAGAGATGTTCCTTTAAAAAAACCCTTGAAATTCTGATTTCAAAGCGAATTCTTATTCCCAAATCTCTCCTGTCCTGGGAACGAAAACAAAAACACAAACGTGAAAAAAAAACACAAAAACAAAGCCATACTTGCTTATGTAGCCATATCAAAAGATGTCCTGGAAGAAGGTCGAGATAAACAGCTCTTGTACGTACTACTTCACATATTGAGTCATGGTCCTAACGAACCCTTCGTTTACTCACATTTCACAATCAAATCATTGGTCACCACGTCATACGTACCCAGAGGGATCTACTCGACAATAGTGGCTTTTCTCACCTTTTCCCTTGTCCAGTTTCGGGATGGCCCTTTCCTTCGTCCCCATCCCGCTTTCTGGCGTGTTGTCCTTGGAGTCAACCTCATCTACGAGCTCGGACTCGTATTCTTGCTCTTCCAAGATTTAGACAGCGCCAGAATGATGATGAAATATCTGGATCCATCATTAGGCGTTCCACTTCCGGAGAAAAGCTACACAGAAGATTGCACACTTACATTGAAGACCCTATGGGTAATGAGTCCATCTCCCCCCCTTCTTCTGATGTGTTTAAAAAAGGGTCCCTTGTCTGATCCGCCGCCATTTCTTTTTTTTTCTGTGGGGCTTTTGAAATTCGGCACTTTGTGTCCGACTTGTTAGGGCGCTATCGATATCTTCTGTTTGGCCCATTCGCTTGGATGGTTTGGCAAAGCCCTTATTTTGAGGGATTATTGGTTCTGCTGGGTAAGTAGGAGATGGTGTGGCGCTACTATTACCTTTTTTTTTTTCGCTTGGTTTTTTTTTTTTTCCCCTTCTTCTTTCTCGGTTGTTCCCTTTTCTCTCTGCGTTGCAAGAGAATCCCTTCCTCATCCAATTTTTTCCCTTTCTTTTCTTTCCCTCTCAAATATAGATTCTCAGCGTCGCATTCGAGCTTGCGGAATATTCGCTATCACATCAGGTTCGCCGTCATCCATTCATTGCGTGTGTGGCGCACAAATTTCTCCAGCTTCTGATATGTAATGAGGGGGATTAGTTACCTAATTTCAATGAGTGTTGGTGGGATCACTGGCTCCTGGATGTTTTGGTACGTAGGTTGCTTTATCCTCTCATCCTCCAGCAGAACGATTCCGGCTGAAGAGCCATAAACAGATATGCAACTGGGCTGGAATTTCCCTCGGTAAGAGAACAAGCTTGCAGGGGCGCTTCGACCTCCACTACCTAACGGCGGGTCGTAGGCATGAGAACTTGCGCATATTTTGAGGTCAAGGTGAGCATTGGCAATTATAGGCGTGCAGTGACGACGGAGCCAATATTCCTGCCCTTGACAGCGATACGTCTGGCGAGGATTTCGTGAAACCCGGGGTATTCGCAAGAAATCAGCCCGTGTCGTCAAGCAACTTACCCCACAGTCATGGACGACCTTCAAATGGGAAGGAACCCGATCATTCGTTGGATACGTTGCCGTCGTATCGCTTCTCACAACGTTCCTCGTTGCGGAGCTGAACGTCTTCTATTTGAAAGCGTTACTATGGATGGGTCCCGAACACAAGTTCGTTATTGCAAGGCTAGCGGGCATGTTTTTGTGCGCATTGCCTGCTACGAGGGAGCTATATCAGTATCTCCATGAAACTCAGTGAGTAATTCCAAGTCGTAACAGCACCACAGGATCTCGTAATTTCTGTATCTTTGCAACTCGCTTCCAGGAGAGTCGTGCGGATGGGCCAGCACGCATGGTTATTGCTCGCCACGGTGCTAACTGAGTTATTGATCATCGTCAAGTTCGGTCGTGGACAGTTCCCTGAGCCTTTCCCGACTCCCGTCAAAGTCTTCTTTGCATCTCTTGTTTTCTTCCTCATTGCTTACCCTTCCATCAAGGTAACGTGGCTTTGCTGATTTACCCCCTTATCTTCCTAACATTGACCTTGCTCTGATTATCCCACATACACAGTTCGGTATCCCTGCCGTAAGGCGCACGGCTAAGCAGAGTATCCAGCCTCTTCAAACAAAGGCAAAGGATCATGATGCTAAGAATGACTGATCGCTTCCACGGTCTTTTGAAGCGATTGAGACTCTCGTTCCAACAATTTGTACTGGTGATGATTGCCACCGACAGCCATACTGTGCATTCTGTAGCCCCGTTCTTCTTCCCTTGCTATTTTACTTCTAGTCGTGTCCTAATCATGGTCCATTTACTTTCTTACCCCACGCAAGATCCCTTATCATGCACACCCTTCTACCACTTCTGCGAACGGGCTTTTTCACAACTAATTCACGTAGCGTGATCTTCGATCCACCTAATACGATAATCTTTCCGTCAGAAATAGGCCGGGTTCACTCGTTCCTCAATGGGCATTCGAATAATCACAGGCGAGAGAGCCGCCCTGGTCGCAAGCCCAACAAAATCTTGCGTTCATCTCATAGTGGGTTGTACGAGTGATAGCCTCCGACTCGTACCTGATTACACTATGGGAGGGGAAAAGCTATCGTATTGTTAGTTCATCTGGGGTCATCACCGAAGAGAGATAGGAACGACGGTCGATGGTGAGTTTGATGGTCCTGGAAGAACCTCCGTGTCACCTTGGGCAGGAAGGCTTCTATGACTTGGTCCCCTACATTGTAGTGCGTCTCAATACTTCGACCGCCATCGTGTGCACCGCCGAGTTAATACTCCGAAACCAAGATGGAATGGTATAAAGAGTCTACTTTGTGTGCTTCGATAGCGACAGGGTGTACCTGCTTGAATGGCCGTGAAATGTCTGGAAATGTTTGCCAATGAACGATCTGCTCGGCATCAGTCTAGCCTGAAGCCCGAGACAGACATCGCAGCCGGTACGCGAAGAGATGCCCTCAGAATAAAGAACCAGGATGCAATTCTACGGAGCCGATGCAGACATTATTCTTGAAACACACATTCGGCGTTTTTCGTCATAGATACTAGCGATTTGGTTCGAGTTTCTGCTTCAATCGAAACCCCTTAGTCGACAGCAAAATTAGAACTGCTTCGGATATACAGCTCTGAGCGCGACGCTAGCAGAATAGCGACTGGAGTAGATGACTGGCAGCTGAGCCAACCACTAGCCACACATAGTGCTGCCTTGTCAAGAACGGCATTGGAGATTCGAACTAGTGTACAAACGATCCGTCATAACAAGTTGCACAATCATATGACGACGGCTCGGTAGCACCTGCTTTACTGTGAAAGCTCCACTACTAAGTCTCCTTGGCTCAAGCTGTCACCCTCGTTCACTAGCACTCGCTTGACATGGCCAGAGACCGGTGCAGAGACAGCGCTCTCCATCTGATGAATCGTTTTCCATCAGCAGGTACTCGAGAGCTCAGAAATGAGTGGTATACCTTCATAGCGCTCTGGACGCATAGTACGTCGCCTTTCATGACTTGCTGTCCTTCCTTCACGCGGACTTCAACAACCACACCCGCCATTGGTGCACCAACAGAGCCAGGGTCTGCCGTGGCTTTCTCGCGGCGAACTGTTTCGATTGCAGCAGAATGATCCTCGACTGCAACTGCGCGAGACTGGAGACAAGTTGTTTGAATGGTGTGATAATTAGGCAGGCTTCATAGGTTCGCGCACCTCCCCGTTAACCTCAAACCAGATATCTCGAGTCCCTTTGTTCTCGTCAACGGCTCCAATAGCCAGGAGCTTGACGATTAACATTTTTCCTTTTTCGATAGAGACGTGCATTTCTTCCCCAACTTTTGGCTTGGACAAGAAGAAGCGGGTCGGGACGACACTGAAAGGAAGGTGGTGAATTACGACCCACTGGAAACCATTGTTGCGACATGCCTCAAATCGCCGTATTTCCCGACAAATCCTTGGAACTCTTCGAACACCTTGATAATTATTCCTCAGTCAGGTGCAGAGTAAAGAAGGTCCCTACTGACTGACCTTGGGGAACATTATGTACGACGTCACATCGGTATCCGTGATATGTTTTCCAAACTTGGCACGCAAATCGCCTTTCACTTTGCGGAAATCAATAGGTGCCATGGTGGCTCCGGGGCGCCCGTCGATTCGAGGCTTGTTGCGAATAATCTGTGTCCGTAGTGGTTCAGGGAAGCCACCAACTGGCTGTCCGAGATAACCCTGGAAAAACTCGACGACGGATGAAGGGAAGTCAAGGGTTTCGGCCTTCGCAATGACGTCCTCTTTCGAGTATGAGTTTGACACCATCCATTGAGCCAAGTCGCCTACGACTTTGGAAGATGGCGTCACCTGTGGGGCCATTCAGCCAAATCCATCACACGTTCCTATCACTTACCTTAATGATATCCCCGCACTGCAAAAGTTATTGACCAATAAGCCCCTCTGTTATCGAGCAGCAGTTTATCAATGCGTACCAGCTGGTTGGCTTCGATGTACCTCTTCTTAATTTCACTCCATTTCGTGCCGAGTCCCAGCTGGGATGCTTGGAACTGTCCATCACCACAAGATTCAGCCCCGAAACTCACTGCACGCGATTGTCGAATGCCTTACCATGAGATTGGTGTATTGTCCACCAGGCATTTCGTGATCGAACACACTGGAGTCGGAAGCGCGCACCGGAGCCTCGAAGCAGCTGTACTGTAGACGCACTTGACTCCAATACAAGTTAAGTGCCTGAATATCCTCATATTTGATACCCGTTCCAACTCCAGTGTGCTCGAGTGCGTTGCATATGGCTCCCATAGCCGGCTGGGAGGTAATACCAGACATGCCTAATTTAACACAGTAAGTGACAGAAAAGCCATGAGACTAATGCTGCCTCACTATCGATAGCCACGTCAACAACGTCTGCTCCTGCTTGGGCGGCGGCGAGCATGCTTGAGACAGCAATACCAGCGGTGTCGTGAGAGTGGACGTGGATAGGGAGGTCAGGATACTTCTCACGAATAGCCCCAATGAGCCTACGAGAGTGAAACTTTGCTTCCAGAAGTCATTGCGAAAGTAGAAACACCTACATGGTCGCCGCCTTGGGCTTCAGCAGCCCTGCCATATCTTTGATACCGAGAACATGAATTCCCTCGGTCACTAACTGATCAACAAAGTTCAAATAGTACTCCAAAGTATACTTAGTCCTTTTCGGATTGGCAACGTCGCCACTGTAGCAAACAACAGCTTCCACCACGCCACCAGCCTTCTTTGCGGCATCAATACCGAGCCTCATCTGGTTTGGGGTGGATCAGGATATATGCAGCGGCATTAAATACAGAACAGCCTACGTTTTCTGTAAGACCAATGTTAAAAGCGTAGTAAGGGATTAGGTGAAGATGGAACTTACCAAAATAGTTGAGAGCGTCAAAGATACGGAAGATGTCCAATCCGTTGTCAACCGCTTTTTTGGAAAAGTCATAGATGGCATTATCTCTAAGCATGGACGTTTCAAACCCAACCACCGCGCTAGCGGGATGTGCACTCACGGATAGCTAGTATACCCAACGGCATTCGCACCACGAATCAAAGCCTGGAAGGGAATGTTGGGAACAAGTTTTCGGAGAGCGCGCTACAGATCAAGTTAGCCCCAGCACGTTCGACATGAAATCCAGCACATACCAATCGGTCCCAAGGATCCTCATACAGGAAGCGCATGGCAACGTCGAATGTCGCTCCTCCCCAGCATTCCAAACTGTAGGCATTTGCAAGAGCATAGCTCGTCTCTCTCGCAATATTGGCCATATCGATCGTCCTCATTCGAGTCGCAAGCAAGGATTGATGGGCATCACGCCATGTGGTGTCCATGATCAACACACCGGGGTAATCGCGCACGGCTTTAGCAAAAGCGGCCGGGCCGTGCTCAAGTATAATGCTCCGCCACCCTTGTTCACAGGGGAAGGAGGCATCAAGTGGTGGCCCACTTGGATCTTCGCGATTGACAAATTTCGGAATGACAACCTCATCGGTGAGTGCGGGTTCTCCCTGGGAATATGTTCAATCACTATTAATTTACCTGCGGAAAGTAGATGCACATACCAATTGTCCTTTGATACTGCTGCCATTAACGAGAAGGTCTCCAAGATAAGCCAATAATTTCTGGGCGCGGTTTTGAGTTTGCACTAGTTTGAACAAGTCTGGAGTGTCATCGATGAACTGGATGCAGGATAATTAGGGATACTGCATTCTCTGGCTAGGGAAAAACGCACGGTAGTCCAGGTTTTACCATGAATGAAAACATCATGGGTGAGTAGCCGGAACAAGAACGGAATATTGGTCTGCAAAACCGTGAGGATGATATTTGAGCGACTTCCATCACAACGAGTACCTTGACACCACGAATGCGGAATTCCACTAAAGCGCGCAGCATCTTTCGGCGGGCTATCTCATATGTCGTGCCGCTGACGGAAACCTTGACCAGCAAGCTGTCGTAGTGAGGCTAGATACGTTCACGCAAAAAGATCAATCTCCATCAGAAGAATGCAGATCCACCAACTGCGCTCACAGTTATTTGCGCACCAGCAAACCCCGAACTAGCGTCAAGACGGACACCGTTTCCTCCTGCACTGCGGTAAACCTCGATCTTCCCAGTGTCAGGCTGGAAGTTGGTGGCAGGGTCTTCTGTGGTGACACGACATTGGATGGCAAAGCCTCGCTTAGTGATGGCGTCTTGGGTAAGGCCCAGTTGGGGGAGGGTCCCACCGGCGGCGATCTGAATTTGGGCTGAAACGATGTCGATTCCGGTGATTTCCTCTATTAGGATTTAGTAAGAAAATCAGAAAGATGGAAGAATGGTCATTACCAGTGATGGTATGTTCCACTTGAATACGAGGGTTGATCTCAATAAAATAATGACGCCCCTGTTGGTCAACGAGGAATTCAGCAGTACCAGCGTTTCTGTACGCAACACTCTTCGCCAGCTTAATGGCATCAGCCAGGATGGCTGAGCGGGTGTGTTCAGGAAGGTGTGTGGCCGGAGCGACTTCGACTACCTTCTGATGTCTTCGCTGAACAGAACAGTCACGCTCGAAGAGATGCACGACGTTCCCTTCCCCATCAGCAAGGAGCTGAACTTCGATGTGGCGTGGACGCTCCAGGAAACGTTCAATAAAGACGGTTCCATCTCCGAATGCGGACCTGGCTTCGCTGACAGCTCTGCTGAAAGAATCTGGGAACTCGCTCTTCTCACGTACGACGCGCATTCCGCGACCCCCACCTCCCATGGCAGCCTTGATAATGACTAGGGAAGTGCGGTCACAATCAACGAATAAAGGAGCAAGGTTGGATAATACAGACCTGGGTATCCATGCTTTTCGACAAATGCCCAGCCTTCCTCCACATTTCCTATCGGACCTGGGGAACCTGGAACAACGGGTACGCCAATTTGAACAGCTAAAAACACACTATTTGAAGGGGAACTCGAGGAGTCGAGGACTGTGTTCCATACCAATGGCCCGAGCCTTGGTCTTGTCTCCGAGGCTGTCAATGACTTCGGGTGACGGACCGACGAAAACTATTCCGGCCTCCTCAACCAGACGAGCAAAATTGGCATTCTCACTTAGGAAACCATACCTGTATCACAAACGTTAATAAAGGGCCGGGAGCCGTGCAGCTTCGCGACAGGGAAGCGAAATCAGGAACATACCCTGGATGGATCATATCCACTCCATGTTCGAGCGCAATCCTTATAATGTCTTCTTGCGCGAGATATGCAGCAACAGGGGTCAATCCTGCACCAACCTGGTATGCTTCGTCGGCCTAAAATCCGCGTGGACGAAGTATTTCAGATCCCCAAACAAAATAAGTCACAAGCGGCCGCTTAGGAAGTGTGGGAGGATTACGTAGCACATACCTTTTGACGATGGGCTGATAGTCTGTCCTCAATAGAATAGATAGCTACGGTGTGCATCGCCAATTCATGGGCAGTTCGGAACACACGGATGGCGATTTCCTGCGTAGTGTCACCATCGAGATGTCCGCGCTTGAAAAATAGTACGTACGCCTCGATTTGCAACCAGAATCTTTGTCAATGGACCATGATGGCCAGCTACGCGCCGACGAATCGTCTGGATCGAATGGATTGGAGTGCTTGGGATACTGGCACTTCCTGGACCTGGGCTCTGGCCACGATTAGGATTCAATGCCATGGTCGTGTCTGGATCCTTCTTTCAGCTGATGGGTGCAGTGGCTCGAAATCTGCCTGCAAGGGGCGTTGCAGACGAAAGGATCGGGTTCTTTATCGCGAACCATTATAATGGGTAATTGCATCCGGCATATCAGCCTCCAAAACCACCTGAAGGTGGCAGTGTTGCCTTCGGCTCCACAGAGCCGGCAAACGCTGGAGAAAACCGAATGGTTTTTTTCGTCCGATGTTAAGCACCATGAGGACAAGACTAAGAATTTGTCAAATACAACCGAGCGAAAAAGACGTTGACGTAAAGCAACATGATTAACCGCAGGTACTTGCCAGGGGCGGTGCCGGGTTCGAGATAAGCACGTGTGGTTGTCCATTTTGGACAATCACATGACCTGCCTGGTCATTCATCCAAATCGGGCGCGCTGCACTTGGCTGTAAGACCCAAGACCAAATACTTAGTTAAAAGGGTAAGCGAGACTGCATACACATAGGGGATTTGATTCACTGCAACGCCCAGGACGATTTGAAATTTTGGATCGACGGAACCGATGGAAACTGGCCAGACGACGAAGATGCGACTTCAAATCTCTGCATGATACCCGAAGCGGCACTAGCGGACAAGAGCCCCTCTCCACAACGACAACTGAATCGATGCTCGTAAGCGTGATAAGAGAGACGTGTTCGCATAAAAAGCCGAAGCATCGTCCTTAATGCAAAGGACACGACAACTTGGAGAACGATTCCGTCCTAGGCGTAGGCGCTGATGTGTAGGAGTGTAGGATGGAAGATTGTGCTCATCCACTACAGCTCTGTCCGCACTATGGCTATTTGGGGTAGGTCAGCCGCCCGATGATGATATATAATATATCTAGGACAAACCGAGCAACCCATACTATGACCGATTAATTCGGTCGCCCTATAAAATCCACTGGCAGGGAACCACGATGAAGTCTTGGACAATTATCAGTGACACCACAACTAGTGGTTATATATAACTCCTCTCGATGTAACACTCGACACGATTTAGCTTTACGTGGTGGGAACCTGGGTCTCATTCAACAATCGATTACCTTCGACTTTGATTCCCGTTTTGGCACTTCGTAATTGCATTGAATATCTGATAGAGGCTAACCTGCCTACGTTGGATAGTTACCTTAATGGACAGGTGAGAGCTAGGACCTCTGGAAACACCGCCGTTCCTCGATTAGAGGACGCGGTGTGTAAGGCATTATCTACTGAGGCGAAAATGTGTAATATCAAAGTTGCGAAAGACTATAAGTTTATTGGGAACTGCAGTCTAAGGATTAGGGACGTCCATAGAGATGAACTGGTGTGAATATGCAAGCTTTGAGCCATGAGCAGGAATGGATCACGGGTAAGGGAATTAACTCTTCGCTTGGTGAAGTGGAATCTCTGACGACTGCGCTAATCGTGCCTTCTCAGCCTTCGCCTGGTTGTTTTTCGCAACTGCATACACAACGCCCGCAAAGAAACCAACCGAGATAGCAGACACAGAACCAAGGGTGATAGGGTCTCCGAAGAACACCATGCCAGAAGCGGCAATGGGCAATTTGTTCAGAGCACCAACCATACTGAAACAAGAGTCAGTATGATCTCCGTGTGCGATTATCCATCGTTGCTGACCTGTAGGTTGTACTGCTGGTGGCACGAAGACACCATGCAGTGGTGTAGGAGATACCAACAGCCGCGGCACCAGAAAAGGCGATGGCAGACAACAGGAGTTGTCGGTTGTCGGGAGGGCTAAACGCGAAACACAGGTATTACAATACAGAGACCATTTTGGGTAATCTTAACGTACAAGTTCTTGACCAGGTTCACCATTGACCAATCCTCGACCAAGAAGGAAAAGATGGTGAGGACTGGGATCGATAAGAAATTGTTGTAGAACATAGTGTCCCAGTCACCGAAGCTCATCGCCTTTATCCGCTTTCGCATTGTTAGAACCTATACCGAATGCACGATTAGTGGGATCCTCAAACATCGTTAGACAACATACATAAGCGGCCGTGGATATGCAATTTAAGAACATCCAGAAGTATCCACCAGACAAGGTCACCAGTATCGAGGAGACGGGCAGTGGGGCAGAGCCAGAGCCTGGATCAACAGAAGACCAAGCGCTGCTCACATTTTCGAGAGTAATCGCGATATCAGACCAGGCGGCAATAATCGACGAAAAAACCTGAGAAAATTATGAGTCACGTACAGCGCACGGGGGGAGGAAAGGCTGACCATGAGAAGGAAGGAAACAAGTGAGAGACGGGTGACCTTGCCCCCAAACCATAACACTTCGCCATAGGCCTGATTGAAATTATAAGAAGTTGAAAAACGTATGGCGATGAGTGGCTCGCACAATTAAGATGATAGTCAAATTCTTGAAAATAGTGAATACAGGGATACTGAGGTATTGCTGAATAGGATTAAACGTCTTAGCACCGATACATCGAAATCATCACTTGTTCTCACCAGACTCTTTGACCCGGTATATATGACACTAGCCAGCATAAAACTTACGGGAAACCACTTCTTCGCAACAGTTATATCGAAATCCTGGAAGTCGATGATTCCAAGGGCTTTGACAAACTGAACGACCACAACGCAGACGGTTGATTGAATAGCGAGGAGAAGACAAGTCATGTTGAAGTTGGCTCCGGATACGACATACTAGAGGATTTCATCAGGAATGCGAGAATTTACAAGGATGGACTGATGGGCTTGCCTTATTTACAACCGTCATCATGATGGATGCGAGACAGTAACATAGAACAGGTAGTGCTGGAACACCATAATAAGCTTCCAAAAGTCTTTCAAGCGAATTGGGTACACATACCTGGATGATTCAAGATTGAGAGTTGCTGAGCAGTGCTTTGCGCCTTTCTCAACTCGACAATATCTTCTGTATCATTCTGCGGGACTTGCGAGTATTTCACATCCGACGACTGTCTGATGCTCATCGTGCTTGACATGATGCGCTGTAATCTAGCCCCGAATAAAGCGACTGGTATAAGGAGGGGCAGCGCTGAGCTCTCTATGGGAGTCCACACAGGAAATTGTTACAACATAAGTGGGACCGTGCCGGGAAAATGCGTGTCAGGACAATGCAAACCCCAAGTGCAGCTCACTCACGATTGGGATGAAGTGGAAGAATCAAAGTGGACGTCGCGACGTTCAAATTTTTGGTAACGTTTTCGGAAATTGCCTGTTCAAGAACTCAAACGCGCTTAGGCGGCACGGCTTGTTCCCCGGTGTAATATCGGCAGGGCCTCAACCTCAACAGCTTCGTTGTAGACACCAGGTCTTTCACGTTATCTGCCTAACTATGAAAGTGTTCTGAAGGACAGCCTGCTCGTGGCAAAATAAATGCACCCAAATAAGTAACATGGCGAAGTTTCACGGTGGAATATTAATGTTCAAGGTTGGACAATTGGATATACAGAGCTACTGATATTTCGGCGATCAATGCTCAAGTGCTGAGTGCTGTCGACTAACAACACAACAGTTAATCCCTGCAAGCGAAGGGCTTGATGTAAAGTTACTGATTGGTGCATTTCCAACGCCGCCATCTAGTACAGCCTAAGACGTACGTATATAGTATTCAAGATGTAGGCAGGTTACCAGCCTCTATTAGTATAGATTCAAGATGGAGTGCTAGCGTACCTCAGAATACTCAGGTCATATGGAAGCCGTCTCGCAGATGGGATCTAGCAAGTTTGATCAATGTGTACGTACAATCCATCAGTGGAATATCATCATCGCGCTTTTACACAAATTTGCTCATCGAGAGGGCAGCCGGAGCTAGCTCGCATGACCGGGAAAACTCTAAAACACAACAATACTGACGACGAGCCGGTCCATGCAATCCCGCAAGTATGGAGACAGTATCTAGTACTGTATAATACATGGGGGTCAGCAAATGAAGGGAGACGTCTGAGGTAATATTGTAACCACGTGATACAAAAAAAATGGCCGTCATCCTCATGCAAAAACAATTCCTCTTGACAGTACAACCATGTTTCAAGTATTACCATAATTATTACTTAATAATGATATTGAGATACCGCACAGGATGTGAGCCCATTTTGAAGCGGTTTTATGGATGATTATGGAATATCACAAAATGTGCGGGATCTTCTTGAGCTTTTCTCATGCACCAGGAAGAATTTCGGAAATCCACTAGGCCGAAACCTGCATTCGTACCTATAGAGCAATCTCGCAAAGTTTGAGCCCAATCGGAAAAGAGGAAAGGTACATTCTGTGACTTGGAAGCCACAACGGATGTAGTAGGCCCAAGCTCCATATAATATATGGTTGTACCAAGGTAATAACTGAGCAAAGAGTCAGTCCAATGCTATTTTAGCATTCCATCGAAGTTTGATGGGTTCATATGTAGTTATCATTGAGTTATAAAGCAATATGTTAAAATGCGATTTTATGTATGGTGAATAACTTTTGATTGAGGAAGAATTTCCAAAATCCGGTAGGCCAAAATATAAACAGACGATACATCTACAATCATGCCAAAAATCAAGCAAAAAGAAGAGGATTGAAGGTACATTTGGGGTGCATCTTTCCAAAATGTCGGGATAGGCGCAAAAAGGAATCACGTGCCAGGGTTTACCGACGTCGCCTGGCCCAACCTGGGATCTCTTGGCATCTAACCTTCAGTCTTATTGGCTTATTAATTTGGGGACACCCACGTCCTAGTCTCCCAAATGCCAAGGGATAGAACTTCTTGGACGTATTCCAGGAAAAAGATCACCTCCCCCCAAACCCGACAATTTACTAGAGCTCGAGCTCATATGACTGGCCATGCTGAACAACAGTCAGCAAGGGGGACCCATAGATACAAGGAGAATTTATGGCGACGCGGAATGACAGTGTTTAGCCCAACCACGGTTTCATAAATAAAAAATCCATCTAATTACTCACCTCCACATGTAGATAACTTCCGACCTTCACATCATTGTCATTTACACAAATTCTAGATAGTTTGCAACCTAAAGATGATGTGTTTTGAGTGGGAGGATGGCACGGCCAGAATCGAGACGCATTTTGCTTATGTAAGTGTCACAAGGTCGCAACGTTGGTTGCCGACCCCCATGTATACCGGGTCCCGCATTGTGTGCTGCTTCACGAGGTCGCGGTCCACTAAAAAAGTGGCAACTTATGTGGATGCACGCAGGGGAATACGTTTACGAGCTCGCTGTGCATGTGGAACGAGGTGGAGTAGTAAACAAGAGTTGATTTTGAGTTCTACTGACACACCTAAGCCCAATCTCCGGCATCAGTGCGATTCAGGCGGATGTTACATGTAGAACTGATAAATATTACCCCTCGTAGCTCGAGCCTGACAGTTGCAGTTTCAGGCCAAAGGCGGCACCCAAGGCGTGCAGAACCAACTGGCTCGGGTTTGGGCAGTGACATCGGAAGCGCCAAGCTTCAGCGAAAACCGAGGCAAAACGTTGGGACCCATTGTATATTCGGGGATCAGTCGGAATCGTTTTTCGAACGCCAAAGGATCCAAGCAATGATAATCCGCAAAACACTCCATTCAACTGCAACGAACTCATTCATGCACGATACGATCTGGTCACCAGTGTTTCTCCGTTTTAATTTTGACAAACAATAGAGTCAGAAGATCTCAATGACATCCTAATGGCACTATCATCCCGTAGCCAAACAGAGCTGGTAGTGTGAGGCCGAATTCTGAACGTGGTGGCAGCAAGGAAAGAGCTAATCGCATGCTTCACGCGTTGATCACCTCTGAGCGAACATTAGACTATCCAAACCATGGGAAAAACCAGAGTGTCGGACGTAGCTAGAACAAATAGGTGCCGGAGGTCCCTTCATGAAACTGATCGCAGGCAGCCCGAGATTCGAAGTGCACAAGAGATCACAGGTCAGTTCAGGGATGTCCAGACGAACAAGGCTTGACCTTGGTTCTGAAGAGTCCTCCAGGAACCAATCGAGAGCGTTCCTGAGTAATTCATAATTCGCAGAACCATAACCGACGACACAACGGGCAGCAAATCTCAAGGAAAGGACAGACATCAAGAACCTAGAAGGATAAGCATCAACCCATACACTTGTGGCAAGTTCTGACGATATATGCAATTTATACACACCAGGATGTTAAAATGATAACGCCCCGTCCATCCATGCTGAGTGGCTCCGAGAACGGCTCAGGAATCGAAGCCTCATAGTAAAATGCTAAATATATACGCGGAGAACGAGGACCAAGATCGACAAGACAGAACGCGCGATTGAAACGCAACAAATATTTCAATTCACGCAATCATCCAAACACAAAACACAACCCCATAAACACACACTAATTCCTTACCCAAACCCTAGGCTCCGTCATCAATCCCTTCGCACTGCCGTCCACTCCAGAACCATGAGGATCCAACAACTCATTCAAAATGGCAGCAAGCCTCCAACCAGCCGTCGCCAACAACTTCTCGACCAACAAACTGCTTCTGACCTTCCCAGCATACCCAGGCGTGTCCAACTCGACCAGCTCACCCGCGGGCACGCGCTCAGGAGGTCCGTCATGAGGAGGGATATCTAGGAATTTTGGCCAGATGAGAGTCGTTGGCGAGGAACGGGGAGAACGAAGATTGCAGTTCAGGGCGTGGATGGGTTTGGCCCAGTCAAGAGGACAGGCAGGGAGCTCGGGTGATGAAGAGGGTGAGAGAGGTAGCGAGAAAGAGTCCGATGAGAGTTTCTGAGCGAAGCGCGTTTGGGGGTCGACGGCGTCCTCGAGTGATTCGTCTCCGTTAATGTTGAATAGGTCTCGAGGAGATTGATTCGGTCCGAGCAATCCATCGAAGGAGGAAGTCGGGGGACAAGAAGCCCAATGATGAGTTTCATCCTTCCACCACTGGAGGATGCCCTCCGAGATGATAAAGCGGACGTATGGGTCGTAGATTGCACCTGTGAGCACAGATTCGATTTGTTGGCTGCGAAATTTCAATGGGGATGAGAACGGCACAGGTCCTTTGTAAACAAGTAGAAGGCACGCACGAAGGCAGAGGGTCGGTGTAATTGGTAATTGAAAGAATAGCATTCGAGATCAACGAATTGTCCCAAACTGAGTGTAGATCTAGAAACCGAGCAATAGATGAAGTTGGCAGTCAAAACCATTGTCGCGTAAGAGAACCAAATCGCATGCTGGTGTTACGTACTCGTGATTTTGCGATTCCAACGAACACGATCTGTGTGAGAGTGAAAAAGTTGTTGAATGAATGGGGGGAGTGGACAATTGCACACCTCCGTTTCCGCCTCTGTCCCTCCCTACGATGTGTAACGGCTGGTGTAAGTCTCCGACGAAATGCACGAGGTATCGTAACGCATGATCCCTCTCCACACTGCCCACATCAAACAAAAAGAAGATAGGAAATCGTTAACCAACACAACAAAGACAACAAACGCTCCATGGTGCATACCCTTCATACTCTGTAATCCCAAGCGTATTATTCAAAATCCCCACGAAAACATTCCTCTGCGGATCCGTCCACCCATTGGTCCCAAACGAACATTGCGAAGGAGGCCAATCCCCCACTCCGTTCGCGAAATGCAAGGGAGCTGTAGAGGGGTTTTTAACCCTATCGGCCCATGCTGCAATAGGCGCTAGATGGCCGTTCGTCTCCGGAGGGAGGATGGTGGAGATGGCTGAACGAGAATTGGCTGTCAGAAATATTTCGGCTATGGTCGCTACGCTGTTGGGAGTAGAAGGGGTAGGAGGTGGGTTCTGGAGTTCGAGGATTGGCGGATATGAACATGATATTAGCTTACATTTGGTGACCGACGACTCCCCAGCCAACGACTGAATGTACAGATGCGACCGCGGGTGCGAACAGAGCACAGGCCTTTGAGAACCTCATGACTTTTGCCAAGTGAAGAGTTGGTCGACTCGAGAGGACTAGGTAAAGGCCCCAATAAACAGGAGCACTTGTACCCACCCCTTTTATGAGGGCAGAGACTTGGCCATCACAACCACCAGATAAGAACTCCTATTGAATCAAGCCAAAGACGAGACCACATAAACAACCCCACACACAGGGTCCATTCATCTGAACCATCGCGGTGGCCCAAGTCCTGAGCGTCTACAGTGAACATTTGCAATATGTCCTTATTTGCACAGGAGCGGAGTTCATCAAACGTGCGTACTTGCGAATTTGTGATCTTTACGATTTGATGTCCCATTGCAAATGGAGGCTGCGCGCTGCTTCTCCTGGAGAAGCGCGATTATCCAGGAAAGAGCCCCATCGATATGTTCACATTCTCCGCGCACTACATGATACAAATTTGGGTGGAGACGCCTGTTCGCCAGGTTCAGTCTCGCAGGGTGCGGCATCCGGAATCCCGATTTTAGGCTACTATGCGGGTGCCACATAAATGCTAGAGAGTTCACATTCACAGCCGGGTGCAACACTCCTGTAGGGATCGGTGACACGAATCCACCAAAGATTCGTATTAAAGTGATGCTGTGGCTGACAGCGCCTCCTGAAAGTGAATAACACAAAGCCACCGCTTCCAGACGTCTTGCGTTTCCCCGCATCCATATTAAGCTCTGCTTCTCCACGGGATACTCGGCCCATGATTCTTGCGCATACCCCCAAACATCGGGTGGGAAGCTGGTGATGATCAAAAATGCAACACACATGATCTACTTCCTCTGGGAGTGCCGCGCTCTATCCTAGTGCGGGGAGACTCATCCTTGGATGCATCTAGATGCATTGCTTGTTTAACCGCTTGTCCAGGCAATCGCAGCTCCAATGTCGATGCCTCCGCTGTTCAGGTCAATTATTCATCCGTGTGGGGTTAAACTGTACACGCAAGCAAATTTGGCTATCTAGCCCTTGTCGGCTAGCGTATCCACCTTAGACAATGTTCTGGCGCTACGGATCCGTGCGCGTATGAATGCTGGCCATCGCCATAGTACACGCTCTGGACTTGTCCATGTCCAAGGACCCGGGTGACCAGACCTTACATATACCCACATCTTCAGCGTTGATTTGATTCTGGATACCGTTCATGAACACGTCACCTCTCAACTTTAGCGTGACCTCGGTCGACGTAGGCGAACAACTTTGGTCTAAGTTCTGCAACAGAAGTTGTCGGGAGAAGCTTGTCAAGGCTCAAGCATGTCCACACCGATGAAGAAATCCCGCTAGTACTGCGTCATTTTACTTGACTTCTGACTGTTCGTCCAACGCGTGCATGCGGGAACACGGTGGAATGACTGTACCCGAGTCAGGATTTTGTTGTCCACTGATTCGTGCGCGCGCACTCAGTGCCAATGCCGCTGCATAATTCGCACCCCTCCTCCCGTTACATGCAATGCAAGTCCCAGTAACCATGGGGCTTAAAATATTCTCCATGTTAACCTACCTCCAACCCTCGCTCTGATCGGCCTAACCAACCGTGCCGCGGAATAGTCCTTCATCGTATACGCCACACTCTAGTTGCTTTCCTCCTTTACGTATTCCATGATACATCACCAGCTACACACGTGTGTACGTGAGTGCTAGCAGTACCAGTGGTCGGCCGTAGGGTCCTAGCCGGCCATGGCCATGAGATCAAACTGCACAAACAAAGAGTAATCTGAAGCACAGTTGGAATAGCAGTAACGACTCACAAGTGGCCCCAGCGGTATGGCCCTTATTACATGTAACTGGTCACAACTCAAAGCAACCCTCGTGTACGTGCGTACCGCCGATCCTACATGATACTGCTATACAGTGGCAGGAAGACGGCCAAATTGTGGGAAGATTCGCCCGCGATTCAATAGGGGTAATTGCCCTGACGTTTCTGCCCTCGTCATGGTCTCGCGATGCTCCGGAGCTCCGTTCTGTCTGGAGTTCTAGTGGAGATGCCGGATCTCATCGAATCCACACATCACTTTCTCCTGGGTATCAGCATGTTGAGCACTCAATATCAGGAGGCTGCGTACCCAGCCTCCAAACTGCATCGGAATGAGCGCGCTTATCACGTATCCCGAAGCGAATTTCTCTGTGCCACTTTGGCAGAAAGATGAAGGTGCTTACATGCCTCGGTGCGGAATGCCACCAGGTCTCCCATTTAGGTGGTGGTCGTTCCTGCTGATAAAGGTCCACCGTCAAGGCTTCCATGCCACCTCCGAAGGACATAAAAGGACACGACTAACTGGACGGTTCGCTCACTCTACCATCCTCTCGCCTCAATATTGCTGTTGAGGTCTTGATGTACCACACTATCATACTCTCAGGACCGCTTTCACTTACCGTTGCACATGCATTTCTCCCACCTCTATATGAGTATGGATCTTGCTTTCACAATAAAGCCCACGGTCACCCACTCCTGCCTCCGCAGGTTGCAGTACGTTTAACATAGCTATTTAATGTTCGTCGGTCCGGAAAGTCATGAAACCCCGACCATGGGAAGCGATTTTGCGGACGTGTGAGTCCAAAAATCAAAGTATGACCTGTGATGCCCTGTAACTGACGAAATTTGGGAACTCTCTGAAGCAACGTTGCTGGAGTCCATTGTACAAGTATGATGAGTTGCACCCCCATGGACCAGATCACGACTGCTGTGAGGTACTGAATCACCCTCCCTCGACGGAGACTGACAACCTTTCTTCATATCCTGGCTTAGTTGCTTTGCATTGCGCTGGGGAGCAAGTTCTGTTCATCTCATGTGCCTAATTACCTTTCAATGCCGCGTCAACGCTGATCAATCTTCGCATTTCTGTGCCTTGGTTATTGGCAACGGATGTGTCAATCCATCTTCGTCGGATATATTCATGTTGCTGGGGGGTACTGCCCACCCCAGGGTTCTGCACAGATTGCATGGCTGGCCAATGAAGTTGACATTCTTCACGTTCGCGCAGAGATCGCAATAACGAGATTTTTGCATCTCCCGTGGCTAATTTCTCTTTACCCAACCTATCTTGCGCTCTCGGACATCTTCTCTCTCTGTTTAGCTTGGTTGTATCGATCATGGTATATTACAATACATCCACATTCTAATGAAAAATATCGCATTTTGCTTCGCTATATGTGTTGTGACCATCGTGACCTATTTCAACTGCCAACAGCCCGTGTCTTGTTTGCCAGGTTGTCAAGGTATATATATGTGGCACGCAATCTGGGGGTTCGGTCTATAAATTATCATCTGCAGATAATCGATATAGGATTCCTTATCGGCTTGGTCTTCGAACAACGTATTTCACACTTTCGATGCTGGTGTACAACGTTGGATTGGTGTAATTGCATACGTACATACGATACCAGCACTTGCGGATCCCTTTATCTCGGGACACATGAGGATGCGGTAGGTAACCCTGCAAAGCTGTGCCTGGCGGCTAGTTAGCCAGCGGGCACAACATGTCGACAAGCGGCTGCCCATATCAAACCATTGCCAGGCTAAGTATACTGGAGTTCTCTGCGCTACATAATATATCGGCCGGGGGATCCCAGACACTCGGGGAGGGGAAATCGGCAAACGAATGCTCTGTCACTTCTGGATCAGCAACAACGCCGACACCCGTAGCCAGTCCTTGTGGTCGCCTGTGTAATTTGACATTGATACGACAAGCTTGTCCTGATCGAGTCCAAGAGTACTAGTGGAGTATCGGAAAGCTATGTCGATTGTTGCAAATAAATCCATTCGATCCAGACGGCTGCCCACATTAAGCACCGAGGCCTACTCCCAAAAAAATATGGTTCCTTGGACCTTAGGGAACGGATAATGCGGATAACAGCCTCCTGAAGAGCAGGAGGAGCAGATGAGAAGAGAACCTAGGCGAGTAGATATATGATATCACCTGCCCAGAACCTTTCCCGTTTTCAACACCAGCAACACAATATCCGATCACTTGTAAATGATCGAAGATTCGCTAACGGAGTATGATCTGGGTTACTCGGACAGGTACGCTCGATCAAACTTAGTTTGTTCATTTATCCCGAAGATTTGTTGCACCCAGCGCTCTCACGAGCAGTCTGAAGCTTGCAGGATAGAGTAAAACAAACCGACCATCATTCGCCAGCTGGTGGACGGGTGAGCGCCGATCGTGATGTCATCAATCTGGGAAGGGTTTTCCAGGCCAGCGCTAGCGCCAAACCCCCAAGCTACCTTGTGGCATTCTCACGATGGCTAGGAAACTCTCTGTTCTGCACCACTCATGGAATCAATATGTGCGATATTAACGGGAGAGGATGATCAACGTAAAAAAAATCGGCATCCATGCATGCGAATTGATATCGGACGCGAAACAGCCCGAGAAGCAAATGTTGTCACACGATGATCTCGGGTGATGCAATCAGTGAGAGGGTTTTAAAGCTATCTATCCTCCAGGGTTCAAAGTTCATCACCCTTGTCCAACGACCTTGTTGGAGCGGCTGGAGCGACTCACTCAGGCACGCGAAAAATATATTAATTAGGTCGGTACACGTGTCGGAGTGAATTCTCGCGTTTCAACGAAGGCACCCCGAGGTCGGCAACACATTGATGCCACGGACTGTTACAAAGAGGTCGAAGGAGGGATGTGAAGTGGCTAGAAGGACGTCGACATTCAGAGTATCGGCGAGATTCTCTTCCATAGATACTTTTGTTGTGCTGCCGGAACGAGTGGACTTTTGCTGGCAGTCGGTTCCAGGCTCGCGCGCGCTCACGGGTTCCCCCTTGTGGGGAGGGCCGAGCCGATGGCGCCATATGGGTTTGGAGTCCGGCCGCGAACGGCCGGAAAGTGCATGTCATCCTGAGCCGTGCAATCCAGTATCATTTAGGAGGCCCATGCTACAGTAGTCAAGAATGGACTCACAAGGAGGTGACGAGTTCGTGGTCTATCATCAACCATATGAGATGGACGGGGACGTCCATCATACGGAGGCGGAGGTTGTGGCAGTGGAAGCGGCGGCGGCGGCGGCGGCGGCGGCAGAATGGGGATGGCTGTAGGCGTCGTCCATAGAGCAGCCGGGCCTGGTTGCACCCAAGGCAATGGTGGACCTGTGTAAGTTATAGGCTGCTCATGCATGTAGGGCAGCACTGCTACTCTTCCGGGAAGAGGTTTAGGCATATAATGGGCGGGCGAACGCGGGTGGAAGGGGACGGCATGTGGTGTGAGGGAGCCAATGTAGCCTCCCGAAGACCAGCCAACGGGACCTACCACTGGTTGGTGGTGAGTCTCGATGGCAGCTTTGACGTCCTCCCTCGAGTGAAGGCCCATGGGGTTTTCTTTGCGAGAGACTCTCAGCGCCCGCCCATTTGAGTTCCCTTGTGATGGCTCTTCAAGCCTCTGAATCTAGTTGAGATGAGGGAGAGAACCGTTAGTCCGGTGGTCGGTCAGGTTTTCTGCATCAAACAGAAATGCTACTCACTACAGCGGGCACGTTGAAGTCCCATAAAAAAGGGAAGGGCCCATATTCCTGTATGAGCTGCTGTATCATTTCAGGATCTCGGTTCATACAGTATTTCTTCAGCGCCTTCTGCCTCTTGATCTCTCCTCGTGTCAGTTCGTGTACTGGGATCCATTTGAGCTCCAGCATCGTCAAGAGACCAGTTACAGCTCGAGAACACCGAAGTTGTTCCCTCGCTCACCCGCTTCTCCTGGGGCGTAAGACGGAAGGAGCCGTCAGAAACGTGCAATTAATGTTCGAGTTCGAAGTAAACAAAAGGTCGGCACCTTCCCTGCCTTCGGCGCTCCCAATTCCAGTTTAGATCTATGTGTTGATCACACTGACCTTCTTACGGCCAATAATGTCCTTTCCGAATCTGCGTCCGCATAGTCGAGGCCGTTTGTCGGCAAAGATGATCATCCTGAAGTTCTGACTGGACCAGGAGACATCTACAACGGGATCGCCAAGGGGAAAAACTCATTGAAGAAGCCGTCCAAGTGCTCATGCCATCTTCTCTTCCGTTGCCTCTGCAATCCGAATCCTCCATGACCGTGGGGATTAGGCCTGCTTACACGTAAGCCGCCTTCTTTCACGAGTTGGCACACTATCTAAGACGGACGTACACCACTGATTGCGATGAATGCCGTCATCTCGATTGCGGCTCTTCCATGGATGGCTCACTTTCCAATACCCGGTTTGGTGCCTAGGTAAATTGGCGCCAATGCCATGGATTCCTCAAGTCTGAAATCTCTTGGACATTTGCAACCCTTGACATCACCCGCAACATGGCCCGACCCACGCGCTGAAACATTCCTCCCAAAATTTGAGGTCTATGGACACAAGATCCGTGTTGCCGCATGCGATCTCTTGCGGTTCGGAAGTTGCCTAAACCGGATGCGTAGTATGCAGACACCTCCAAATAGGGTTACGGCCTCGCCACACTTTCCGAACCTAAGTATGCCTTTCCGCTGAAGGTAGTACCCTCTATCTCCTTATTCCTCTGCCACAGCATCTGATCCCATTCAGGACTGAGGCCACAACACCTTGTCATAGACCCCTTGGTCGCGTGCCAAACACTTTTACGGTACGGACGTGCCACTCTCTTTCACCCACTGGTCTACCTCCGACAGTCCCAGATACCACCGGTGGGCCTGCTGGTCTTCAAACAATCATCGTTGAGGGCGCGAGAGTGTAATTCTGGAGACGATCAACTAGCGTGGAAAGGATGAAAGGCGGAGACACAGACCCTGCTGCCATCCTATGCCTGTAAGAAGCATATGGCGAACATGCCAGGATGGAGATTACAACTGTGAGTGACGGTTCTCTACTTAGTTTCCATGGCCTGACCCGATCCCTAGCGACTCGAGGATTGGAGCGAAGAGAGCGACCCTTGCCGATTTCCTCACACGTCCAAGCTCAACTTGAACCGCACCGTCACTTGGTCGTCCAGCGGAATCAGGCGCTGGAGCCACAATCCTCCAAATTCATACTGCAAATTTGATATTGACCGCTGCAGCTCACATGCCCGCACCATTCGAACACATCAGGATTATCAGCAATTAGGACTGTACACTGAACACAACCTAGAAAGTCTTGACTGGCCCCCAAGGCCTACTGAACTAAGATTCATCCACAAGCTTTTGGCTTGTATCAATGTTGGATCCAGGGTCTCGAGTGTCGAATCTGGATCTTCGGCTCGCGCCTGGTGTTGTGATAAGCGTTGCTTACGCGCTAGACTGTATACTCTCCTAATTAAATAGTTTAGGAACCTCATGCAGGCAAGGCTGGGCGTCAACTTGATCTAGGATGCTACGCGCCGACAGCCACCATGTTTGCATTTCTGAATTCCGAAGCTGGGTACGGGTGTGCAGATAGGGAAAAGGCTTTCTGCCTGGAAAGCGCTGGTGTCCGGGGCCAGATAACCACTGTATCTTTACTAGTGGGGGTACACAGGAGGGATGAACCCCTTTCCGACGATTTCTGGGAGGAGAGGGGTGTGTTAAATGGGTCCATTGAACACCTGACTCTGGTTGCGCCTTGCGACATGGATGATCCCCATGTTTATGAATTCTGACACACCTTCCATCCCTCGGTCACCTGTTTCTTGAAAGCATTTTCAATCCATTGTCTATTCAGCTAGCCAAACTCGTTACTCTCTCTCTACCATGTTAGTATCAATCGCCGGAGTCTGCCGACCTCAAGAATTGACACTGGACGAAGTTGGTGCCACCATCAACAGGAGTTAATGTCTCTCCACACTCTTTCTGTTCGCTATTCACCTCGTACTGCATCTCCTTTTGCCCACTGCCGGATGCCTCATCTCCAATATCTTACTCTGAGTTCCCCGTACATGGGACAATAACAGGGACATTATAAATGACGAATGAGGTCCCTGACGATAGTATTCGAACCACCCACGTGAAGTGAAGGATTTTGTCACCTCTTTGACTTTTCTTTTACCACAACACCTGCCTCATATTTATAAATTATAAACGCACCGATGATCAAGGCCATTACTTTGGAAGGCGGGATGAAACCCTTATCTTATGCCCTTAAGGGTTGTGGCCTCGTTCGTCTCCTCTGGAGCCTGACAATCTTCCTGGCCTCACCGACCTCACTATTTCTGTTCTGAGGCATCTTGAACGACCTCTTGGACACACAGTTGGTATCCGACTCTTGATCAAAGCTCGCTTAGAAGGCCATCAGGACCGCTCCACAGAGTTGACAGTGCCACGCTTCATGTTTGAGGATTATCTGAATTGGGTTCGAAGTCAGGCACGAGAGTTGGAACTGACTGATTGATGACGGTGCTTTGAGCGGTACGTGCTATGGACTCATCGGATGGACGCTTGGGACAAAAATCCTCACTCTTATCCTCTGCCACCACGTCCAGCAAGCTAATTAAACAGTGCACACAGCTCTACCTTCAGCGTTGGGGCACTGAGTTAGCGCCGATCAGGGATTCTGTCAGCAACAGCAACGAGTTCCTACGTTGGCGCTTTCCAACGCCGGTTGAATCATGGGGATTGGTTAAGAACTGAGTAAGTAATGGTGCAAACTCTGAAGCGCGTTTTTCACGAGAGAATTTGAAAACATGGCCACACGCACACCTCTTGTACTTGCGAACACTATGATCGCGTCTGTGGTTGCGCTCAGTACGACTTCAGTGGCCATCGTGCATGTTGGCCTGTAGACTACGATATAATCATTCTCACCTAAATCGAAATAGTTTTCAAGGCTGTGGCCTAACTTAGTAACTATCTTAAGGACCAGTGACCAGCGTGCCGCCGACAGCTCCTATCTGGGCTCCCCCAAATTGATCTTCAAAGCAGTAAAGCCCAGTCCCTACCCACCTTGAGACTGACCCCCTTCACTGCTGAAAACCCTGGTCGACCTACTGATATCATGCAGAACCCAGCTCTGGTGTTCCCAAGCGCTGGCCCTCTGGACTCGGAGCCGCCAAAGGGAAAATGGTCCGATACTCGATTCTTTAAGTACCTTCAGGAGCATCGTAACATTGTGGGCAAGGAATGCCCGAAATTTCCGGAGCGGTGTGAGCCCAAAGACCCGCTTCGGCAAGACACTATCCACACTTGTATCAATCTCCAGGACGCGGATGTCTTAGACTATGCGGGAGAGTTCTACAACCAACAACGTACTCGGGATGATTGTGCTTTCTCAGTCAAGGTAGTGGATGTGCTGCGGTGGATGATTTTTGGGGTCATGGTTATTGTCATCCCTTTGGACATATTTGTCTTACTTCGTTGGACTTTGCCCCGAACTCTAAATGTATGTCAAAGTCCCTCATTTCCGTACTAAACTTTAATCAATCATGAAATAGAAATTTTCTCGCGATTCTCGAGAACAGCGGAGCCTTTTCCCCCCCTATGAATGGTCTCTCAAAGTTAGTTTGTGGATAATTTTTGTTCCGCATGCCAAGTTGGCGGCCCTTGGGGGACTGAGGGCTGCACTATATCTTCAAGTCTATGTACCGTCGTTTCAACATTCACACGTAGGGCCCTTTCGCAAAGACGCTATGATTTTACTGACTAACCATGGGGGCCCAATCAAGTCATCAAATATCGAAGAGGGGAGAAAGATGATAGAGGTCCGAGCAAAGCGATTGGAGACTTTGAAAGCACTGGTAATTCCGTGTGCCATCATTTGTCTGTGCTTCTGATTTCTCGACTAGTATAACGACTGGAGGGAGGAAGAATCCGAAGCTTTGAGAAGGCTGCATGAGCTGAAAGCTGATGCAAGCCTCAAAGATGTTTGTATGGGGTCACCGGCCGGAGTAACCCACTTGCTAAGAATCCGCGTTTTAGCGATGGGAGATCGACGAATGGAGGCGGAAAGCCACGAGCACCTGGCAGCGTATCACCTTTGATTGTAAGAATTTGGGAGAGCAGGCGAGTCTTGTGCAATAAATGTCTGATCAAGACTGCGCCAATCTAACATGAACTTCAGATCGGAGCTCTAAAAGCCGAAATCTCGGAGATTCGAGAGATTGCTCGAACGCAAACTAGTGAACAGATCACTGGATACAAAGGTGAACTTAGATACCGAACGGCACCCCACTTGACTGAGTGATGAAACATATCCCAGGGGTCTCTGATTGGGCAAAGGTACAGTGACGCCGCTGCTAATCTGTTTTGAGCGTTACTTAGCAACAATGGAAAGGACGCGCTCGATACCTACATGGACACGATCACTGCGGTGTCTGCCGTATCCGTATTGGGCGCTGGTCTAAGCTACACCTCCATTGTCAGGCAAGAATTGGAATGGCTCATCTTGATAATGCTAATTCTTACCCCGTTGTTCCAGCGCCAGTCGCGGAAATATCTCCTACATGTTCTGCTCCTTCGCACTGTTCATGATTTGTCTCGTGATTGCTACTTCGGTTCAAGTGATACTCACTTGGTATAGTCACCGGGCGAACTACCCGCTCCGGAATCCACGACTCTGGGAAATCTCCTTGGTTGTTGCTGTGTATGGGGCCGGAATGTCTATGACCGTAGCCATCATATTTTTATTAGTTACTGTTCAATCCTTGGATTCCGACCCTACACATCCGCCAGTGGTCACTTTTTCACCGATGGCCTCGGTTTATGTCACGTATGCGGTACGGAACTTTTGCCTAATCTGCGTATCAATGTACAATTGACACTTCTATTAGCTCTTAGGTTTCATTCTTATAGTTGGGATTCTCGCGTTATACATTTCTGCTTCTGTGAACGGTCTCAAATTCTTCTTGTTGAGAAGATCAGAGGTGCAGCTCGCTACCAAGGCGAAAAGGTTGGAGGACTTTGTCTGATTTGGCTGACTTCATAGCGCATAATGAGATGTACTCAGCCCATGCGCCGGAGATAATGCGAATAGGTGCAGAAAGCTGAGGCCTACTTAGACACGGTCTTCCGCTGTCTAAGCTTGGAAAGTCTTATTGTTAATCGTTGGGACGCTGTGCCAACGTCAGCCCTAGATTAAACCGACATTAAGATGTCCAACAATCCAAACCCCTCCCTCGAATTGTCAAGATGCATAGATTGTTCCGACCAACCCACCTCGACAAGGGCGCGGTTGAATCGTTCTGTTCCAAGCGCCTCGCAATGTAGCATATCACAATTGCACCAGCTCCTACGGATCTCCTCATCCCGAGCGCCATGAGGATACATGCCTGATCCTCCGAAATTGTATGTGCCCACTGGGTTAGATTCAGATCGCGTGTCGTGTTGTAGATCGATACACAGCTGCTTCCCATCGAGGCGGTCGGTGTACGTTTGCAAGATGGCGAGCGATAGAAGAAGTAGGGGGGCGTGAAGATTACCAGTTGATACAACGGTATGTCGTGCCGTGGCCCTGTCTGCACGATTAAACAGCAAATCGCCCCTGCTTTTAGAGGGAGATCGTGGAGCGGAGAGCCTTCAGTGTGTATAAATCCAAGTTGAGAAGGCAAAAAAAAACCACCACGCTGACCAATGAGAGGCTCACTAATACTGTGTCTACCTACCCTCATGCTCCACATCCAAGAAATCATTTAAAGACGTACCGTTGCCGCCCTGTTGCTCAGGTCTCAAAATTTGCCAACGTTACGAGCTTATGTCTTTGTAATCACCACGCCAGAAACAAGAAACGGGCGAAATATAAACTATACTTTGATTCGGTGAATCTGCTAGAACATCAAATCAACGATCCAAACTGGAAAAGATAACCCAAAGCAGTAGAAAACGATGAAGCCCATAGATCCATCCTAGCAATGTACAATTCATCAATCAAAATGAAACTGCCCCCACTCCATCAAATAAGGCTGCGGCATGACGCGTTCGAAAAAGGAGAAGAGTTGGCCAAGAACTCGTAAGAGTGCGTAAGATTTATTAATATAATCACACTTTAAACGAACCACCGAGCATTACTACTGAGTGACGAGCTTGAGAGTCTGCAAATCGATGCGTCCAATGTAATCTGCGTAAGAAGTGGTATCGAATCGAAACAAAGTTGCTACTTACAATGAAAGTGATGGGAGCAGGGTACCTCGCATTGAACTGACCGGCGTCCCCACTGATGTATACCGCCGTGGACTGAAGGAAAATTTGGATAGGTGGTTGAGCTGAAACAGAACAGATCGCATAAGCAAAATGACAGCCAAAGGATGCAGAAAACAGTCGACCTACTTCCATCAGGATTTGTCCATACTGGAGTGATGGTACCAGCAGAAACGTCGAGGGTCCACTATACATTTCGGGATGCCTGATTAGTGAATGCCAGAATGGTTAGGGAAATGTGAAGGCAGTTACGCACAACAGCGGATTCAGAGGTGCGTTGCCTGCCAGTAGCTTGAGTATACGAGTTGCCGACATTTTGAGGTGGCGAGTCAGGTGGAGCTAGGGTTCAGAAACGTGTTGGCCGAAGCCATCATGTATCAGGCAAGGTAGAATTAGACATACTTGGGTTGGTGTTGGCGATATAAGCGTATCTGAATATTGTTCTCATGAGTAGGAGATAGAGGGTGGGTAGAAGGCATTGGCGTACTGATAGCTGCCAGCATGAAGAATGGAGGTGACATCATCCCGACCTTGCACGAGTCCCAAATAGAAGTAGTTGGGGATGTCCGAGTTCTGGTCAATCGTGCCATCATCAAGCCGAGCCTAAGGATATGAAACAAGCTGACGTACCACAGTAAGCAAGTCTACACCCGTGTGGGTTTTATGGACATTGTGCACCGTGAAATTGACAACAACGGCGTCCGAGATATCTGGCTGAACGCGATACTGCGCCTGGAAGAAAGTGTTCTTCGAGATATACCCGAGACTCGCCCCATTATCCTTCCTGAGGACCTGAATGACTGCACAGTAAGGAACGCCCGAGTCATCCGACTTGCGATTGGGAACTGCAGATGATAACATCGAAAAAGAGAAGAACGATGTGATCAGTATTTGTTCTTTCGAACAATGGATCGCATTCGGAAAGCTTACGATGGTGACAATGAGATGGTACACGAGGCGACAGCTCTGCCTTGGGATCGTGTCGCTCGAATAGACTATCACCAACCAAATTCCGAGTGGGCAAGAACTTGCTCCCGCAGAGCTCGGTATCACAGCTCCTCGGACCAGGAGCGGCACAAACCAAGAGGCCAAGGAGGAGAGCCAAAACGGAAAAGCCTGAAAGGGAGTGCATCATAGTATGACTTTTTTAATGGGCTCCCAGTAGTGACGACGAGCGGATAAAAAATGGAGGGATGGAGTGAGGGGTTGGAATCCAACTCCTGGCCCCCTAAATATTCTCATGAGCTGTCAAAGGACGTAATTGCCTCTCGGCGTGCCTGATCAGCGTTCTCGGCTCGACACTAGGAACCAGTCAGGAACCCCCGCGAGCTCGCATATGGAAGGAACGGCTTCTCGATTTTGTCGAAAACTTCAAGAAATCTCCCAGATTTCAGCCCCTTATCGTTGGTCCTCCTCAAAGAACTCCCGGATTTACTGCTGAACGCGGGGAAACTCCTGGAATTAGCGAGAACCTCGTTGGGACCTCGCGGCGAATTTCCAAAGAATTTCAGCCCCATGACTTATAGCACGTGTTACCCGTTTATTGATCAATTCCAGGGGTGATGCTCATGCAATCCGGGGACGGGATAGGCTGGCCGGAAATCATTTCGAATCCAGAGATCCCAAGGTATGAGTAAGAAATCGCCGGTAGTTGGCAGTTTGATTTCCCAGATTTTGACCCAGTAAGAGGCGAGCCAAAATCCGTGAATTTTTTTCGCTGGGATCCATGCGAGCTCGCGGGGAGACAGCTTCGGTTTTCCTACTGCTTTTCTACCAACCCCACTAGGAGGCAAGGCGAAAGGGATCTACCCAATTTCAATAGGGCCCGAAGTCGGTTACTTACATAAACATAAAGTGAATTCGAAACTTGGCGTTTGGAAGTTGAGTTGCTATGCTGTGCAGCCAAAATGCATCCGACGTTGGGTTGATGTGCCTTTTATTTATTTTTTGGGGGGGGGATGGAGTGGTGCGGAAGCAGCGCGGAGCTTGCTTTCCGGGGGTGGTTAGATTGGACCGCGGGGAAGGGGAAATGCGTTAGCGCACACGCGAATTTACCGCTCCTCCCATGACCTTGGGCTGCTGTTGAGACAGTTCTCAGGGAAACTCGCTTTGTTCAAGAGGGCACCACTCCAGGCGCTAAGGACGAGACCTGCTTTTTAGAGGGTGAAGTTCAGGACCCAAACAAAGCTAGATCACCTTGGGTCCTTATGAGTTGTCCCCGTCTCGGCAGCATTACTCGGGGGAGGAATTAGGTCTGATAATCTGTACGTATTCCTCAATACGCGCACGTAGAATTTTTATCCTCAAGTTGAGTTCAAGATCTCTAAGGATTGCCGGTTCGTACGACGTTGCGCAGCGAGAGCTTATCCCTGAATGATGGTTGGTTCATCATCTTTGAGGATGGTCCCGTATATGCACGAGTTTCCTTTCTACCTCTAGCTATAAGTATGTACATCCTGTATCATGACTACCCGGGGGATTGTAGCTACTTGTCGACATGTCATACGCCCTAGCTTTGCTGCCTGCCGAGACGGGTGGATTGGCTTGACATCGGAACAATCCATGGCCCCAGACAACTTGAGCCTGGATTGCTGGATATGTTAGTATAATTCGGGGGAATGTTGCCCCAACGATTAATAATAAGCTTTTTCAGATCTAGACGGCGGAAGAGCGTGTCTAAGCAGGCTTTCTGTACCGTTTAGGATCTATTCCCGATTCTCCTGTGCTTGGACCAAGTACAAAGCGATGCTGCGGGGTCCAGCATGCACGACACCTCATGACCCTGACGCCAAATCGCACTACTGAGCTAGTAGGGAGCCCGGAGATCAGCTATCTTGATCTTCAAGTACGATGCAAGGCAAAAGGTCGTGGTTGAGATGCGGCCGAGGGGGTTATGAGATGGTCCTCGGTCTGTAACGGGGTCAGGTGTCGTGGCATGGACCTTCAGCAGCAAAGCCATCCTTAGACTCGGAAAGTGTGGCGGGACCAACTCGGAGAGTCTGTGTAAAGCGAGACAGACTCCCTTGCGTTCGCAGGTCTCAAATTTGGGTGGAGTGTTGCCGTGCGTAGGTCAGGTCATATTGACGGTGGCGCGAAGGATTGCTGTGGAATGACGAATGTCCAAAGGATTTCGAGCTTTGGGGATTCATGGCATCAATGTCAATTCACCTAGGTATCAAAGCGAATATCAGGATTCGAGGCCATTCATTTCTGCAGCTAGAAGACTTACATGTGGTCTCCACGATCCTGTCGAATCGCAGAGGTAAGGGAATAGAAGATGGCATCTTCGACAGGTTTCCTCCCCTCACCCATACCGACCTAGGTGCGTTCTGACAAGTGAACTGACGGACTATGCCGATGGAACTCGGGAAGGACATCATGGGCTGTAAGACGGTCTGTGCGATCGACACATACATCCCAATGTGCCTTTTGTTTACATTCCGAACTCGATGTTGATTTGATTTACTGATTACACGCTTGTTGCTGGCAGCTCCCGTCTAACGAAGCGGATGTGTGAGTGAGTAACTGAGGAATTTTCCTCAGTATTCACGGGCTGCTGCGTTCCGCTACGATGCTTATGCTCAAGTGCATGAACTATTACGAAAGGAGATGCAGAAACAAAGAGGCTCATAGCTCGTATTAGAATAACACGCGCCCTGTGGGAATCCAATGTTCCGTGACACCTCTATTCGATGCGAGAAAGCTGAATGGTACTTCGGCGATGTGTGCCTCGAGGTATGAGTGTAGACACAGAGAGTCCCTAGTAGTAATATGGGAAAACCTAGTGTAGCGTGCTTGGGAGACCGATGTCAGGCTCCTTTCCCGAAGTCATAACGTCATGAGTGCCCACAGCTCGTAACTAGTCTATCGCTGTCCTCCCAGTAGTACATGCTCTTAGACTAGCAGTTAAGTATTTCATATCCTGATAACAGCCTATCGAGTCAACGTCAAAGTAAACGAGCGACCAGATAGAGTCGATGGGGCTGCGCATAGAATGCAGGACACGGAGGACGAAACTATGGCTTTATGTCTCAGTGCTTTTGAAGCTAGGTGGGGTTTCCATAACCCGACCGAGTCCTTCTCGGACACCTCCGAACAACCTCCATCATACTGGTCAAGTGACCCTGCAGCCACTGGCCGGCTTCGTGAAATCCGTCCACAATCTCTGCATTGTTAAGCTTGGTCCTGTACTTCTTGAACTTCTTCGGTAAACCCAACCAAAAGTGCCTTCCCCGTTCAACCTGTGCTACGCTTTTAACGACGCCGCAATGACCTTCTTATCTTCCCGGATGCCCGTGAAAGTGCTGTGACCCATTGTCGTCGGGTACTCACCCGATACATCTATGCCAGTGTCATGCGGGAAGATTGCTGTCGTTCTCGCAGCGAAACCAAAGACCTTGCAAGGGTTGTTCAGCAAGTTCGTCAGAAGAAACTATTTTCCGGTAAAAGGCGCCTGCTGATCATAGGCCGTTCGTGATATATGCAACCCACTATGTTCACTCGTCCTATGTACCATTCTTGAAAAGAAGAACAAATTTTGAGCGTGCTGACGGAGAAATCTTCAACCCACTAGATCTAACGGCGACAGATACTATTTATTTTTCAACTGGGTGACTAGCTAACCTTTCTGACGTAACGAATTAACTTGGAGCCCATACCGAACTTATGTCTCTCTGGGGCCACCCCTCCCCCCTGTTTTTAGGTAAAATCACTCGGACTCATCACTCTCGGGACAAGCAATAGAATTTGGATCAGAGAATATGTGACACCCGAACATTTCCGCCGATGTTTTCGAGCAATTTGGGCGGTGATTGAGCCGTTGCGTAATTCCCCTTCCCGAAGCCGGAAGCTGGGTACATCTCAAGTTAAAGTCAATGTCCGCAAAAATGCACCGACTGGCATGTTGCGGGGGGCCTCCTTCAACCCAATGTCAGGAACCTCAGGTTACATTTGAGCTGCCGGGTGGACAAACATTACAACCAGCAATGACATCATAACTTCGCTTGAACAAAGTTCCAAGCTACGTAGATTCCTGGAAGCTTTCTGTCTGCACCAGTCATGTGCCAATGAACCAATAAGTACGCGGGATTAGCAGGAGAGGAGACCTAACATGATAACCAAGGTACTAATATTCATGCATCCCGAAAGACCTCATGCGAGTTAATGTCGGACGCGAAACAGCCCGAGAAGCGAATATTGATCTCGGGTACAATCAGTGAGCGGGTTTGTAAATAAAGCAAAGGTTTCGCTAGCCCTACAACCACCATTGCAGTACGCCCTCATCGTTGGAACGATTCACGAACACCCAGGCTAGGGACTGCACCAACTCAAAGATATATTAAAAAGATCATTACTTCATTGCCATATACAGACACAGTCCGAATCAACGCTCACACTCCAACAACGACGCTCCGAGATCGAAAGCACGAAGGACGAATTGACTGGAAGGACGCTGGTATTGAGCTTGATGGGTATCTCTCGATATATTGGCTGCGCCGCCGGAATAGATGAACTTCCATTTCACGGCCAGCGCCAGGCTTGCGCTCATAAGTTCCCCCTTGTGGGAAGGTGGGAACCTATTGCGCCATGTGGGTTTGGTGTTCGACCGCGAACGGTCGGAACGTGCACTTCATCCTAGCCGGAGCAACCCATATCAGGGAGATCCACGCAATGATACTAGATAAACTCACAGAGATCTGACGAGTACATGGTGTGTACTCAAGCGTACGAGACATTTGGAGATGTCTATTGGTTGGGGGGAGCCGGTGAAGGAGTGGGACCTGGGGGAGGGGGAGGGGTGGTGGCAGTGGTATAGGCGGCGGCGGTAGTGGGATGGGGAAAGGGTGAGGTCTTATCCATGGCGCACCAAGATTTGGCCCCCGCTGATCGGGGTGAGGGGGGGAAGCACGTAGGTGGGCGGGTAGGATTGGAAAGAGGCCCCAGATGTCGTTGGGGAACCAGTACTACATCCCAGCGGCCGATGGTGCCCCCAATGGCATCCCTGACTGCCTCCCTGGAATGGAGGCCCATGGGATGTCGTTCGCGGGTGACCATGAACGCCGGCCCCTCCCCCTCCGAACCGCCTTGCTTCCCCGCCTCAAGTTCCTGAATCTGGTTAGACAATGAGAAATTTTAGTGTGGTTTTCAAGTTTTCCACGAAGGCATCACTCACCATAGTACTCACCATAGCACGCACGTCGAAGCGCCAGAAGAGAGGATACGGGCCATAGCTCCGTATCAACTTGTCCATGATCTCAGGACTTAGGTCAATACAGAGCTTGATAAGCCCTTTCTGCCTCCTTTTCTCTCCTGGCTTCAACTGCTCTATGGGGACCCATTTGGGCTTGAGTATCGTGGAAGATTCCATGGGGGCGTAGCCGCAGCTCGAGAGCAGCCAAGAACGCCTTCTCAGTCGCTCGATTGCCCACTAACTTTCCTCCCTGGCGTGTTTCGTGGGTGTTGGATGGAAAGAGCCGTCAGAAAAATACGGAACCAATGTTCGACGCTGGAAGCGTAAACAACAGGTCGGCATTTTCCTTAGAATCCTTACCAATCTCCTCCCTTCTCTGTCTGCAATTTCGACTGCCATGTTACGCTATGATGGTTCGCACTGGTGTAACGGCACAGCGTTATTTGGACCCTAGCTGCCTGAGCAGATTTTGTCTGAAGTCAATCTTGCAGCTCAACGTCTGGACTTCGAATCTTGGCCGAGACGACTGGGTCTGTTCAACCCAGGAACGCTGACTCACCGATTTGAAGCAAAAAACAGCCAGTGACGCAAGTAGTTCACAGGTGGGGTGCCACATACTCTGCAGTCTGAACACTTGGGGATATATTTAGATCAGTTCCGGCGGCCCAATCGAGTAGCGTTTATGGGAGCGAACATCTCCTTGCAGATTGTCTATTTCGCCACAGGTCCCTGAATTTCTACTGCTGCCACAGGGACCCCTTTTTTTTGTTCCCTTTCCCTCCCTTGCAAGCTTGATTCCAATCAAAAATCGATGGGATTGCACGTAACTTCACTCTAACCTTGGACGCGCGCGGGCTCCTTGGGACGAGTCTATGGCTTTTATGTTTCGGTGCTTTTGGAAACCGAGTGAGATATTGGAGACTTCCTGCGTTTCCCCCCAGATCCCTCTCTCTTCTGTTAATGCAGTATGGAACGTACTATACTGTGATCCATTGTAGTCGGACTCCTCACCTGGTACATCTATGCCGGTGGCACGCAGAAATTTTCCGCCGTTTTCTCGCAGCGCTCACTAAAGTCTTGCACAGCTTTGACCCGCACCTCGGCATACATGCTGGCTCCTTGCATGGGGACTCCACGCAATTTCTTTTTTCTTTTCTCGGGGGAGGGGGAGGGGGCAGGGTGAAGAAAGCTTGGAAATAGGCGAGCACGCGTTATTGTGCGCGGCTGTCAACCCGTTTTTGGATATTGAACTTGAACTTGGGGCTGTTCAGCAAAGGTTCGTCAGAAGAAAGTTTGTTTATTTTTCTTGTACAAAAAAAAGGCATCCGCTGATCTGATGATTGGCCGTTATCATGATCGGTGATAAATTTGCTTAATGCAATTCACTATTTTATCGGACCGCTCGAGGTTTCCTTCCTTTACTCGCAGGGTATCTAGGGATCCATTTTTTCAACTGGCCAAGTAATACCCTCCCAACACACACCCTGATGAAATGTGGACCATACCGAACTAGGTCCTCATACACTGCAATCATGCGCTACTTCTACTTTTCTCCCCCCCCCCCCCATCATCCCACTTAGGTACAACCGCTCGGAATGATGGATGATCACTCTCGCTTAGACAGACGGCGGCCAGACGTATATATACTCGTGCCCTCTTGCCCGCGCGCCCATGCACTCAAGATAGGCATCACAACTTTCTTATAAAGCCACTGTAATTAACACTCCTGTCCGACTTCATACAAATACTGTGGCAGTAGTAAGTAGCCTCGCTTAGCGTTTTTGAAAGGAGTAAATATATACAAGTACTTGGTGCCTCAATGGTATTCCTTTTTTTTCTTTTCTTTTTGCGCGGTCTTCCAGCATTTATGGCCTATCGTAATAGGCCATTTCTTTTCTTGCGATTCTAGGGGGCCAACCTAAACACGTGCTTCTTTCCTGCAATTTTCCAATTCACGTGCGGCGATATACTTACTAATTCGCCTGACGTAACAATATATATATATATATGCACGTGAGCGTCACGAGGACAAGTTCGCGTTCGTTCGGCGCAACATGCAAACTAGTGCTTGTCACATACCTTCATCGAAAAAAAAAAAAAAAAAGATGCATGGACAACGCGATCTACCGTACCACTCTCAGTCCCTATGTGCACACATGATGTAGAATGGACGGACGAAACACACACACCCACATTCATCTTGAACTAACTGGTTACATTATGAAAGCCTCTTATGCCCGATTGCAGATACAACAAGTGGAAGCCGATCTAACAAGGCCAATAGTGGCCCATTTCATTTTGGTTTTTTGGTTTTTGTTTTTGGAATTTCCCAATTAGGCCCTCGACGCCGTGTCCAGCTCGTCTACGGGTAGGCGCGTTTCTCTCCCCCCCCCCCCCATGACCTATCCATAATAAACCCAGAGAGCGCCTAAATATTCGAAGTCGAGCCACAGGTTCGTTCAAATGATACATATATATATATATGGTTTCTTGTTCACATGCCTACGGGCAAGGGCGGGGAGTTGGGGCATCCATCGACGCGTAAGACATTTACTAATGATCGTGAGCTCAACTAGCCCATCTATGGATATCTGGGCTAAGTATTGCCTATTGTTTATTAACTATGTCTCAGCCTCTGCAGTATGAACATGTCAGTACTCCAATCCAAAGAGTAGAGTGTGGGGCTAAGGGTGGAAAATTAAAGTGGCCGTGGTTCTTTTTTTTTTTTTTTTTTTCTAATTCTTGTTGCATGGGCGCATCGGTCTTATTAACTAACGGTACCTTTTTTTTTTTTTTTTTGTCTTTCCCGAACCCAATCCGACGATTCGAGCACACACACACACACGGGAGGGCAAAGCAGTTGTAGTGTTGGAGGAATTCGAAGGTCCACAGTAGTGAGTGAGGTAGCTCTGGCTCGCCCACGCCGAACTAAAAATGGGGGTTTTTTTTTTTGAACATTCTAGAAGAATAGGATTCGCATCTCAGCAAGAAAAAAAAACGCGTTCGTGCTGGCGATCGATATAATATTTCAATCCGTTTTCTTAATCAACACCACTCACATTTCGATGAGCGAGGTACCGGTCCCCTCGTTCCGCATACACTCTCATATATGTTTTTCATATTCCCATCGACCGTACATGTAGTAGATATCCACGCCGGCAATTCACGCACACACCGGAAGGCAGTCTTGTCGGTATTGGAATGCCATTGCATGCATACATGCATACGGCCGATCTTGCATGTGTATCTTTGATGTCCAGTCAGGTACGTCCGGTTTATCGATAAATCACACAAGGCCTAGGTCTAGATTTTCGGGTATATACAACCCCTCGTGTCTACAATGAAGCGAGCACGCAACCGGTGGTAACACGCTATGGCGTTGGTGAAAAGTGCATGTAAGCTCGAGACTCGCTCCTGTCATGCACGTCGATCTGGACATCGCGTAGCTTTCTCGCCCATATATGCACAGTTTGGTAAAAAAAAAAATAATACAAGAGAAGCATACATCTCCCCCTGTCTATGTCGTCATATACCTATACGTTTAATGGCTTCTATCTGCAGGTGCTATTTCGTAGAAGCACCGAGTCAGGAGTTGTGCATGAAATCGTACAAATATACGAAGTTGAAAGAATCAAGGTTTAGGGTTGGATAGAGGTATCGCATCTGCACGAGCCCCGTAAGTGAACAAGTACGCTTCATCCGTGCTGACACCAACAAATTAGATCCGGCTACCTTTAATTTGCAACGGAGCTATGTAGTACGGAGGGTGGAAATAAGTATAATGATAAGTCCGATATCAAAATTAATGGACATGGATAAGTGATGGGGCGGATATGGGTCTGGGTGTAAGCTGAACCCGTACCACGTTTGATGTGCCTGCCGGCTGCAAGATCTAGGCCTCGTGTCATGAGCTTCGAATCAAGGGTCCTTTTGGGATAAAATACATACAGATAGCTAGCTACGTATTATAGAAAGGTCCTATCGATATCTCTCCCCCCGCGATCCCTCGTAAAACATCAGTGTTCGATCTCGCGGCTACTACAGGGTAATCTTGGTCCATTTCAATATTGCAGGATTAGATTATAGATACCCCCTTCGATATCCGAAAAACACAAAAAACACAAAAAACAAAAACAAAACACCGGAAACGAAAAAAAGATAACGAGGTGGAACTAGTTTGTGACGTCAACGATACCTATAAATGGGTTTCCAAACTAGATGATTAGCCACCACTGTGACGTAGTTATCGGTATGCTCGGGTCGATATGATACAAAAGAAGAACACATACACATACTATTATTTTACTTGTGCAAATCGCGCATGTGCAACACAAAAGTTCGTTATCTATATCATATCATGCAATTGATCGACCTAATCGGGGGGGACCAACATGGACATGACCGCAAAGTACCCATACTTTGATCAAGGCTGCTACCTGGCTCTAGTTGCCCGAAGATCGAGATAACTCTCAAGATCGTTAATCTCTCTCCAACTATTACTTAACGTACAGGTATAATCACCGGATATCATCATTGTAATGGCTCACGCACACATTTACCAGAGTTGGCGGGAAAATCCGCGTACGGCCGGTCCGTGTCAGACACGTATATACGCGCGACTCGGACGTTGTCTGTCGCATGCGATCACCAAAGATACCGGCCAGTGCTCAGGGCTGTGGGGTCGATATACGTTTACCCAAACCTCCCGCACGCAAGATCACAGTAGATCAGGCAGACTTAATAGTCACCTGGCAGAGTAACTCGAGCTGAGAGCAGATCAATTATCTGTACAGATAACAAACCCGATCGAGTACAATAAACAAAGTTTTTTTCTCTTGATCCGGATCCGTAAGCGCATACTGCCGCAGTACTAACTGTGCACGTTGATCCGTACCTAGCTTTCAGCCTCTGATCTCGATAAATGTTTCGATCTGAGTTCTTCCTGCCGATGCCGGGGCCCCGGAGGGCCCATGCAAAAAGTGAGGGGTTTGCGCATTATGCAGGTGATCAGCACACGCGAGTACTAGCGTATAAACATTCCTTTCTTCCATGATACGAACAACCTACGAACACATACATGTTAGTATAACCGCCTGTATTCGGGTATTTGTTGGTGAACAGTACTAACAAACATCATCTGCCCCCCCCCATGTCGATCCTAGGCGTCCGCCCGATTCGTGCAAGTCGTGCAAAGTAATTGGGTGAACGATACAACTAACAAAATGCCATCTTTCGACAAGTGGCATTGGAAATCCATGTGTGCTACCAGCTAGCCCCCCTTCCCCTCTCCCGCGGGAATTACACCTGAGTAGTTGTAGTTTGGCCCCCCCCCCCCCCCCCCCCCCTTCTATCAGTACTGATCAGCAAATACATTTTTACATTACAATCACTAGCTGCAATGTAAACGATCAATAGGTATGTGT